GACTTAAAGGGCTGGCATATTATGAAAACTGATAGGGCTGTTCTATGAAAGGGCAAGGAGGGATTTAAAACTAATATAGGGGCTTTATGAGGTGGTGAAGTGTGTAAGAAAGGAAGGGTATTAATATTTGGAGTCTAATTGAATTTTGAGGTGCATGAATGGAATCATATTGTAATTGGGGACATCCACGGAAAGATTTGACTATTTTGGATTCATCCATTTGTAATGCATACTTGTCATTCCTGGTAGGTAACATGTTGAGTGTTTTTGAGTGTAATTCATTCCTTGGTTTTACATCCATATCTTGGTGGGGCAACATGGAATTAAACCCACTCGTTGCAGCCATAGTGATATTGAAGTTTGAGAGTGAAATGAAATGAACAAAGAGGCTGTGATGATAAGTTTCCTATATTTTCTCTAATGAATTTCTAAACTTGTAATTAAGTGATTTCATCATATTTTTGCAGCCATGGTTTATTTCATCTATGAAGCTGGAATAGTTTTAATAAATAAGAGGCTGTGATGAATGGTTTTATATATTTCTCTTAAGTGTTTACCAAAATTAACGAAATAAAATGTATCTTGGCGTGGCTTGGTAGGTATCCAGAAGCAGCCATGGCGTTTTTATATCCTTTCCCTTGTGATGAGTATATAAATAGTGAAAATTCTGAGCCTCTTTTTAGCCCCAGTTGAAATGGGCATTTTCCTGGAAATACATGTTGCTCAAATGAAATGCAATGAGATTAAAGAGGCCGTGACGATATCGTTGTGTATTTTCCAATGCTGCTACCAAAGATTTAATGAAATGATTTGTATCTTGGCGAGGCAACTCGGAAATTTGAGACTGTCGTTGCAGCCATGGCAATCATATCTTTTGAGCCTCACAATAATTTTTAGTTTTTGTTATAGAAATTATATAGCAATTTATAATTTGTGGTATTTGTTTAAATTGAATGAAAAATTATGGTTTTTTTGGTGACCACATCCGAGACTCAAGAACACTGAATTTGTGGGGATGAAGTGGAACCATTGAATTTAATCCGAACTCAAGAACACCTTGATGCCATTCTGTGGAAGAGGAAAACTGGACCTTCATGCAATTCTGTGGAAGAGAAAAACTTTATCAGCATTTTGTACAGCTATATTACTAAAGTTGATGGGCCTTGACCCCATTCTGTTCGGCCTCTTGTGATTGTATTAAAGTGTAGGGCCATATTTTATGGATTTGTGCCATGTTTACCAAAACTGTTTCTGCCATTGGATTGAAAAAAATGGAGGGAAAATTGGAATGAAATTGTTGCATTGATTTCTCATGGGCTTTTATATATATAGTAGATTTTGAAAATGTTACACTTGGCTTTAATATGCCGAGAGTGGTAGTTTGGTAGGTTACCAACTCCATCTTTTTGTATCCGGAGCAATTGAAGTTCTCACTTTGTAATTCCAAATTCATTTCAATCTTTCTCCTTCAGAGGCCTCCCTGTTCGGTTGAAATATGTTCGTGGCTCACCTCTGACATCCAACAGCGAACCTTTCAAGGCCTCATCCTAGAAACTGAGAACCAATCTGGCTTTTATTGTTCAGTTTTTTGTGTTGTTGGCATTGTTTGCTTTGCAAGGTCTGTCGGGGCTAAGGTTGCAGGGCACATGATTATGGCGAAGAACACAGCAAGGTGCATCTGCAATCTCGATTGGGAAGAGTATGTAAACAAGCTTGAAGTCTTGATGTGTTCTGCCTCGATATATAATATCACTGTTTCTTGCTATACATTTCAACTCAGGTGTTTTTCCTGTTTATTTCGTGGCCGCTTTAGATTCAAGGACATTACCCTAAGTCGAAAGAGGATAATCCAATTCACATCGTGGGACATTCGGCTGGAGCACAAGTTGCTTGTGTTCTGCAGAAAATGCTTGCCTGCAAGGTTTGCCTCAGTACAGTCACCTCTCGGACTACAATGCCACACAAAGATGTTGTGTCATTCTTATACCTTAGTGTTATTTTAATCGTAGGCATTCGAGGGACGTGGGAGTACTTTACGGTATTGGGTCTTAAGCATGGCATCATTATATAGAGATCTCAATGGGACAACAAGAACATACCAAGATGCAGTGCAGTGAGTTTCTGAATGCTTTTATTTAATATGGCTCTTTTGTTATTGAAGGAAATCCCATCTTCTAAGAGGTCTTTAGAAGTTACAATGCTATTAGGTATCTTGTACAGCCGGGGGTACTGGCTTTTACTATACTTGACATTGGCGTATTGGATAGCATGTTAAAGTATTGGACTAATACCATGTTTCCAAAATCTGAATGATTTGTGTAATTGCACAGCATAAGTACTTGTGTGAAAAATTGTTGCACAATTTGTTATTCAGTTCAATTTTCCAACAGGCGTGACGATGGGAGATCTTTGAAACACATCTTGGATGACAAACTCAGGCCAAAAGTCTACTGTAATTATGGGTGTCATCATTTCAACATCTTCTGGAAGGAAAGTGGCATTCGCGGCTTCCTGACCTTACTATCAAGAGTGCTGTCAGACTAAACAGCCACTTACATACATTTCCCTCAGCTATTGCCACAGTGCACAATAAAATTATGGGTCTTAAAGTGCCTTCCGGCTTACTTGGAAGTGGGAATACATCATCTACCGTTTATCAGAGTACTGCAGATGAGGAGTACATGACGACATCTATCTCCCTTACCTTACTGAGGTTAGAGGTGTGTGTTTCTCAATTCAGTTTGTCCCACTTCTAAGAGATAGCTTTTATAGTTCTTATTCCTCTTGATGAAATTTGTAAAAGAACAGTAGACTACTTCGGCATTCATTATGATAAAAAAGGATCACAAATAAGTTGAGTGCATTAAATTTAGTTAAACCAAAGATTAAACTTGAAAATGTAGGTATATATGATACAACAACTTGAAAATATAGGTATATTTGATAAGTTATAATAATTGTACCTTATTAAAATTTAAAAGTTGCACCTTTGTGAAAAAGGATTGTTTTAATTGGGTGGAGAGAGTAATATCAAATGATGTTTTCCTTTTGAATAACTAGATTTATGTAAACTATGTGACAAGAGACCAAGAGTAGTATGTTCAAGGCAATCTAAAATTAGCATCTACGGAATATGCTAATTTACAAGAATATTTACGACCAAACTTGTAGTGATATTTTCTCCTTCATTATAACAAATTCAATAATTATTATTAAGCTTTTTTTAAATTTCGCATATATCAGATACAATAGTCAATAGGGGCCATTTTTTTGTTTTCACAAAGGGCCTTTTTATGTTTCGGACCAGCCTGTTGGTTACTTGTCGGACAGTTTTGATATGTTTTGAAATTTGTCCAATATGAATGTTTGGTGATTGGTAAGTAGAAGTGCATTTCACATTTATTTTCTCCCGAAGTTTTCTGACTTCTTATTAGCTTCTGGGAAGAAGTGCATTTCACATTTATTTTCTCAAAAAATATCTTTTCAACCTGTTATGCTATATAAAACACTCAGCTTTTATCAAACAGTTATAACCTTTTTAATTTCCTAACTTTGCAGCAACTAAAATCTAACAACTCCCAAAAGTTCAAAAAGTCATCTTTTGATTTTGCATGAAATTCACTTTTTGAAAATGGAAAAAGTAGGCAAATCTTTTATTTTTTATTTTGTAGTGGAATTTACTTTTGAAAATGGAAAAAGTAGACAACTTTTACAGTAGTTGAAGTCTTGAAGGCTATTATACGATCCAACCTTATGTCCATATTTTATTTACACAATCTTAGTTTCTTTTATTCTCGTAATTGAAATCGAATATAGAGTATGAATGATTTTGGCTACATGGAAAAGATAAAATTAAGACAGATCAGGTTAAAACAAAGACAAACAAAATGGGAAAATCTGGACAATCGCCACCAGTTTCACAACCCCATTCAAATTTATCCTTAATAAGTGGCTTATGTTGATCAGCTTAGAAATTTACTAGGGTGCGTGGAACTTTCTTACCGCCTTTTTACACACTTCTATATGGTCAAGAGCTGCACTAAGTGGAGTGCTGGGTATGTTTGCTTGTCACTTTTCACAACCATTTTATAATCAACCGTTTCTTTCTTTCTGCAGTTGCCTGACATCCTGAGACCAGAAGAGGATGACTGGGACTCTTTCTTCACAAACATATTCTCTGAGTCATGTGGGAGATCAGCTGCTCTTTGATCCTGCTTTCCTCCGATGCATTTCTTGTTCACTTCACTTCCTTCTGTTACTCCTTGTTTTTAGCATTTGGGTGTTCAAGAAATTCATAAACACAAACAGTTACAGAAAAGAGCATGATCACATGAAAGCAAGATTGCATTGCTACATGCCAACCATTTTCTCATGTATGAGTATCTCACTGTTTAATCTTGTTCTCTGCCTGCTGACTGAATTTTACTGGTATGCAAATGGTTGGTCGGAAGAAAAGATGTTAACTTTTTCAGATTTTTTAGTAAGGGCCGTCTCTTGGTCAGTAATCTCAGCTGTTTTGCACACCCAGTTCTTGAATTCAGCTGGAAATAAGTATCATCTGATTTTGAGAGGTTGGTGGGGGTGTTTCTTAGTACTGTCCTGTTATTGCTTAGCAGTAGACATTTTCTATCACAAAAAGAGCACAACTTTAGCTACCCACTTTTGGATTTCTGATGCAGTGTCAACTGTCCTGGGGGTATTCTTCTGTTGTGTGGGATTTTGGGGCAAGAAAGAGGGCGTAGGCGACCTTAGTGATCCGCTATTGAATGCCAATTCTTGTATTAATGGTGGAAAAGAGAAATCACCTTCTGGGTATGAAACTGTCACTCCTTACATCAATGCTACCATTCTCAGTACATTTACTTACTCATGGTTGAACCCACTAATTTCTCTTGTCAAGAAGAGATCATTAAACCTTGCAGACATTCCTCAACTTTCCGGTTTCGATACTATCAGAAGCATTTTTCCAGTTTTTAGAAAACAGCTGATGAAATTTTGCGGTGAAGTTGGTAGTAAATTGACTACATGTATGCTGGTCAAGGCTTTGATTTTCACGGTCTGGAAGGATATTGTGTTATCTGCTGTTTATTTACTCTTCGGAAAATTGCCCTCTTATGCCGGAGCCTATCTCATTGATGACCTGGTTCAATTCCTTAGTGGAAAGCGGGATCACAAAAACGAAGGTTACCTGTTGGTCACGGTATTCTTCATTGCAAAGGTTGTTGAGGCCTTGGCAGAAACACAGTATTATTTCAAAGTGAGGCAGGCAGGGTTGAGGCTACGGGCTGCCCTGGTGGCCAAAGTCTATAACAAAGGCTTGAGGCTCTCATGCCAATCTAAGCAGAACCACACAAGTGGAGAGATCATTAATGTCATGAGTGTAGATGCTGAGAGGATTGCTGAATCTTGTCGGTATATCCATGACCCTTGGATCATACTTGTACAAGTTGGTCTTGCAATGTTTATTCTCCACAGAAATCTAGGGGTTGTTGCTTCGGTTGTAGCACTCATTTCTACCATTGCAGTGATGCTAACTAACATCCCTTTTCGGAAAGTTCTAGAAAAATCCCAAGAAAGACTGATGAGATCCAAAGATCATCGCATGAAGGCGACTTCCGAAGTTTTAAGGAACATGAGGATCCTTAAACTTCAAGCCTGGGAGATGAAATTTCTTTCAAAAATCTTTGAGCTTAGGAATACTGAGGTGGGATGGTTAAGAAAATATGAATACATCTCAGTTTTGACCACTCTTGTCTTTTGGGTTGCCCCTACAGTCGTGTCAGTAGCTACGTTTGCTGCTGCTGTTCTAATGGGGATCCGACTTGAATCTGGAAAAGTACTATCTTCGCTCGCTACTTTCACCATACTAAAAGAACCTATCTACAGAATTCCTGATACAATTTCAAAGATTGCTCAGTTCCGAGTCTCCCTTGATCGAATTGCATCGTTCCTTTCGCTTGATGAAGTCCAGCCTAATGCCACCGAGAAACTTCCAAGATGTAGTTCTGATGCTTCCATTGACATTGTCAAAGGAAACTTCAGTTGGAATGAGCTCGTTTCCACTCCACTTCTGAAAGACATAGATTTAAGAGTGAGTCATGGCATGAAAGTAGCTATTTGTGGTGGTGTTGCTTCAGGAAAGTCAAGTTTGTTGTCTTGCATTTTGGGAGATATGCCAAAAGTTTCAGGTAGCGTCAAACTCTGTGGTACTAAGGCCTACGTTTCTCAGTTGCCTTGGATTCAGAGTGGTACAGTAGAAGAAAATATATTGTTTGGTATGAAGATGGAGAGTGAGAGGTATGACAGAGTTCTTGAAGCATGTTGCCTAAAGAAAGACTTGGAAGTTCTCCCATTTGGTGATCAAACCGTCATTGGTGAGAGAGGCATCAATTTGAGCGGTGGACAGAAGCAAAGAGTGCAAATTGCTCGTGCTTTATATCAAGATGCTGACATTTATCTCTTTGATGATCCATTCAGCGCAGTGGATGCACATACTGGAACCCATCTCTTCAAGGTAAGTACTGACAATTTTCTTCTTTTAAACTAAAGCTATCTAGTCCTGAAATGAGCTGCAGAAATAAATTTCAATTCACAGGAATGCCTACTCAGATTTCTGGATTCAAAAACAGTTATTTATGTTACTCACCAAGTCGAGTTCTTGCCTGCTGCGGATTTGATCTTGGTATGTTATCCTTGTAACTTCCTAGCTTTCATTTTACATATTTCCGAGCATCAAGATTTTATCCAACTATAAATCAGGTTATGAAAGATGGAAGGATTACACAATCTGGAAAGTACGACAACATCCTGAAATTGGGGAATGAGTTTATAGAACTTGTGGGTGCCCACGAGGAAGCATTATCAACAAAAGATTCATCTGAGGAAAGAGCACTAACAGTGAGAAATGAGGGGGACAGTGAGTTGATCCTTGAAGATACCATACAGAATGAAGAAACTGCAGATGGTCATGAAGGTAATATTGATAGCACGGCCAGACCGACAGGACAACTTGTTCAAGAGGAAGAAATCATGAAAGGTAGTGTTGGGTTCTCAGTTTACTGGACATACATTACTATGGCTTATGGAGGTTCTCTTGTGCCCTTTATATGTATGGCACACATACTTTTTCAAGCACTTCAAGTTGGAAGTAATTACTGGATGACTTGGGCTACTCCAATATCAGAAAGTGAGAAGCCTCCGGTTGGGAGCTCTACTCTCATTCTTGTGTATGTTGCTTTTGCAATTGTAAGTTCATTCCTCGTCCTTGGCAGATCCTTGATGCAAGTGATTGCAGGGTTAAAAACAGCCACACTTCTTTTTCAGAAGATGCATTTGTGCATTTTCCGTGCTCCAATGTCTTTCTTTGATGCCACGCCTAGTGGGCGTATTCTTAATAGAGTAAGAAAATGATTCTTGTCTTCAATTCTTTACACTATGTTTGGTTCAATGAATTAGAAAGGTAAAAGAAAAGAAAATGAGATGGAAAACTATCTTTTTTGGTTTGGTTAGAGATGAAAAGAAAAGTGGAAGGAAAAGAAAATGAGAAGGCAAAATGTAGTGAGAGGAGGGAAAACCAAATTCCTCCCATTTTGACAAGAAAAATGATAGAAAACCATTTTCTTTTCTTTTCCTTCCAAATTCCTTGAACTAAACATAGAGTTAGTAGAGTTCTAATCTAACTATTAGAGTCTTGCTTGATTGGTTGTTGTACCGTCTTGTACGGTACTGTATTGTCAACAGGCATCTACAGATCAGAGTGCAGTTGATCTGGACATACCCTTTCAAATGGGTTCGATTCTCATCTCAATAACTAAGCTTTTGTGTGTCATTGCTGTGATGTCTCTAGTGTCATGGCAGGTCTTTGCATTCTTTATTCCTGTGATTGGAATATGTGTCTACTTTGAGGTGGTCTCTCTAAGCTCATTTCTTTTTCTACTTGATTTATGTGACATTGGATTATCCTTTACTGTCAATTTAATGTAATGGATCTTTTAATTACAGAAAAATTACTTACCTTTAGCACGAGAATTGGCACGGTTAGCTGGCGTTTCAAAGGCTCCGGTTATACAACATTTTGCTGAAACTCTATCAGGGTGTGCTACGATCAGAGGTTTTGACCGGGAGTCAATGTTTATTGATACAAACATGAAACTGATAGACGACAATTCTCGGCCCAAGTTTCATGGTTTTGCAGCTATGCAGTGGATTTCTTTTCGCTTGAATGTGTTGTCACTCATAACATTCACCTTTTCTTTGATATTCTTGGTCACAGTTCCAGTGGGAACTATTGATGCAAGTAAGTGGTTGTTTGGCATAAGAGTATGGAAAAAGCTAGGTGTACCCCAAACTTTGTACCCAACTTGCACACGAGTGTATCACAGACACACAAAAACAACCATTGTTTGTGAACCCGCACAGACAATGGTTGTCTATGTGTTGTGTCTGAAAGAAAGACTGAAACTGGTGTGCAAATTGGGGTACAAAGTTTGGGGTACCCCTAGCACACCTCTAACAATATACTGTAAGAAAGAAGGGTTCAAAGTTGTGCATTATTGATTTGTGTCATCCAAACAATGTGCAGGTTTTGCTGTATTGGCAGTGACATATGGGCTTACTTTGAATTCACAACTGGTTTGGCTTGCTGGAAATGCTTTCATGCTGGAGAATAATATTGTCTCATTTGAAAGAATGATTCAGTACACTTGTATCTCTAGTGAGCCCCCTCTTGTCAATGAATCAAACAGGCTAGGCATTCATTGGCCCCCAAATGGCAATGTTGATGTCCGCGATCTAAAGGTAATACATTCCAAACTCATTCATTCATTCAGCATCATAAGTGTATATATGTTCAGTCAATGAGGTCGAGATGTTCTTTTTCGTTCCATATGCCATGTAATTATGGATGCCATGACTTTATAGGTCCGATACGCTCCGCAATTGCCCCTTGTGTTACATGGCATCACATGCTCTTTCTTTGGAGGAAAGAAAACTGGAGTTGTTGGGAGGACTGGCAGTGGCAAATCAACACTCATACAGACAATCTTTCGAATGGTTGAACCAGCCGAGGGTAGGATTCTCATAGATGGTGTTGATATATTGTCGATTGGATTGCACGATTTGAGAGCTAGATTGAGTATAATTCCACAAGACCCAACCATGTTTGAGGGGACTATTCGCGGAAATCTTGACCCGCTTGAAGAATATACCGATGAACAGATTTGGGAGGTTGGTGTTGGTTTACTTTGCAGTTGTTCATGCTTTATTCCTTAATCTTTGAAATCTTTTTAACAGTTGTTTGTATATTTTGTTTGTCAAGGCTCTTGGTAAGTGTCAGCTGGGTGATGAAGTTCGCAAGAAGGATGCTGGTCTTGACTCCCTAGGTATTTGTAGAATTTAGGTCACTCGACAGGGCTATAAGACACTTGGACCGAACCACATTAAAATATTGAATCCGATCGATTACTAGTTCAACTCAAGAGCTTATAAAACCCATCAAGAAAAATATTAGGGAAAGAAAATCAGTAATTGCATCATTCCATCATCCCAATAACACTATAGTGTGCTCTCTAATCATGTTCTTGAATGGAACTTATTTTTTAACCAGTAAGCGAGAACGGTGAGAACTGGAGTGTGGGCCAGAGGCAACTAGTCTGTCTTGGACGCGTTCTGCTAAAGAAGAGCAAGATTCTGGTGCTAGACGAGGCAACGGCGTCAGTTGACACCACAACGGATAATCTCATCCAGCAAACCCTGAGGAAAAGTTCCTCGGGTTCCACCGTGATAACAATTGCACACAGGATAACCTCCGTGCTTGACAGCGACATGGTTCTGCTCTTAGACAATGGTCTGTAAAAATGGCTCATAATTCTGCTATGTGACTGAAGCCAACTGAAAATTCACTGCATTTTTTGCTCTCTTTTGCAGGGCTCATAGCTGAAAATGACACCCCGGCGAGTTTGTTAGACAGAAAATCTTCGCTGTTCGCCAAGCTTGTTGCTGAATATACCACAAGATCCCGTTCTGGTTTTTGAAAATTTTGCCATGATTGACAACAAGAGGGTTGTCCATTGTGTTTTGAAGAGCATATTACTGTTCTCATCCATCATCTGCACTCCGCCGTAAGAACCGCGCACGGATGGAGTAATAGAACTCCACATTGGCTGTTTCTTCTCGTCTAAGGCATTGTTTGGGAATAACGTTTTCAATTTTTGTCTTCTTCTTAGATTGCCAAACAGTCCCTTAGATTTCTCCGGTGAAAGTTTTTTCACTTCCCTATGTGTTCAAAATATTCCAGTCTCAGTTTCCTAGTAATGTTATTTCTGATATATTAACTTCCATTTGACTTATCATTAATACAATACTCCCTTTGTCCGGGAATATTCTTCTCGTATTGACTTAACACGCTTATTAAGAAATATTTAAAGAAATGCCAAATTTCTAAAAATGCACATACTATAAACTTTTAAATCTCCTTTTCTTATTAAAAAAGCAATAAAAAAGTAGATTAGTGATAAAATAGAAATGTATTATTAAAATTTATCCTTAAAAAGTATACTTAAAAAGGAAATGGGAAGAATATTTCCGGACGAACCAAAAAGAAAAGTGGGAAGAATATTTCCGGACAAAGGGAGTACAAAGAAAAGAAATTTTATTTCAAAGCTTTATGTAAGATAAATTAAATGAAATCATTTTTGTACTAATATACAATTAATTTTTTATTTAATTGATTATCAAAGTTTGTTCAATTAATTTAAAAAATCAAACTTGAAGTGAAAATAGAAATATTTTATTAACCTCATACACTGATACACATAAGATCCCTAATGCAATCACTGAGGGACTGGAAAAGCATTCCAGAACCACTACAACAATAACAAAATCATAACAACATATGGATTACATTTTCAAAATGAAAAAAAAAACTGGGCTCTGTTCTTGATTCCATAGCAATAATGGCTGATGATGTTCTTGAGGTTGCTAGTTTACCAAATCAACCTGTCTGACACTCTCAACCATCTTAACCACCTCCGCCATTTTAGGCCTCTGGTCTGGCACTCTCACCACACAAGCCAGAGCCACCTGCAGCATCTCCACCATCTCCTCCTCGATGTTCGGGAGCCTGAGAAGCTCCACGTCGAACACCTCGCCCGTCCACTGCTCCCGGACGACGGAGTGGACCCACCGGACGAGGTGCACGGCGTCGTCCCCGCCCGCCGCGTAGTGGACGGGCGGCTTCCCCGTGAGGAGCTCGAGCAGGAGCACGCCGAAGCTGAAGACGTCGGAAGGCTGCGACGCCCTTCTGGTGTCTCCGACTTCCGGCGCGCGGTGCCCGGCCGCCCGCGCCAGGGGCGGCGGCAGCGACGGGGCGATCGCGGCGAGGCCGGTGTCCGAGACGCAGCCGTAGAGCTTGGAGTTGAGAAAGACGTTCGACGATTTCACGTTGCCGTGAGCTAGCTTCCCGCCGTTCTCCTCATGGATTCTTGCAATCCCTCTTGCTGCTCCTATGGCTATCTTCACTCTAGTCTCCCAATCCAATGGTATCATCATATCTTCTTCTCCCATATTTCCTGCATATTGCATTTCAGAACAACGTTTTCAGTTAATGGTACAGATTAAATTTGAAAATGTTATGAGTAATTTTTTTCAAAACGCTAAACTGATGTAGGACAGATAGAGTTTCCCATACCATGGAGCAAAGCAGCAAGGCTACCAAGGGGGAAATAGTCAGAGACAATGAGTTTCTCATCTTTGGAATAATAGTAAGCTTTGAGCTCAACCACATTCTCATGTTTGATCCTCCCAACAACTTCCATTTGTTGTTGGAATTCCTTCATCCCGACCCCAACTTCCTTCAACCGCTTCACCACCAAAGTCGTCGCGTCCTCCAGAGTCGCCTTATACGCCATCCCGAACGTCCCCTTCCCGAGCACCTCGGCCGAGGCTCGGAAAAGGTCCTCCAAGTCATACCCATACTTACACCCCTCAAAGAAAACCAAGTTGTTATTCGCGTCTTCTCCCCCACCACCCGAAGTCCCCCTTTCCGGCCTCCTCCCCTTCTCATATTTCCCCATGAAGTTCCCCTCCCTCTCCCCTCTCCNGCCTTATACGCCATCCCGAACGTCCCCTTCCCGAGCACCTCGGCCGAGGCTCGGAAAAGGTCCTCCAAGTCATACCCATACTTACACCCCTCAAAGAAAACCAAGTTGTTATTCGCGTCTTCTCCCCCACCACCCGAAGTCCCCCTTTCCGGCCTCCTCCCCTTCTCATATTTCCCCATGAAGTTCCCCTCCCTCTCCCCTCTCCTCCTCAGGCAACACGCGACCATCACGAGACCGAACCCGAGAATCGCCATTGCGCTTATCGCAACGCAGCTCCCAATCAAAGCCTTCTCACTTAGTCTCCTACCAGCATTCTTGGTTCCAATGTCGGGTCGGTGAGGCTGGAAGGGCGGAACGGGAACGGGGAGGTCAACGAAGGACACGCCATTCCCGTAAAACGCGGATTTAGGGAACCTGCGGAGTGACATAGGGACATGTCCAGTGAGATCATTGTAGGACAGGTCCAATAGCTGCAATGCGGGCAAGCGGGCATCCGGGATTTCACCTGAGATTGAATTGTTAGCTAAGTTTAAGCTTGTGAGGTGGCTCAATGCCGAGATTGAATCCGGTATGCTACCGTTAAACCCGTTGTTGGACAGGTTAAGGACAGTGAGATTCTTCCAAACAGAGAAATCAAAGGGCAGAGGGCCAGAGAAATTGTTGTGCTGCAAATAAAGAACGGACAAGTCCTTCATGTGGCGAAACTCGACGGGGAAGTCCCCAGAGATGGCATTGGATCTGAGGCTCAAGACCCGCAACGCAGAGAGGCGGTCGAGGGTGTTCTTTGGGATTGGGCCGTGAAGCCCAATCCCGGGCAGCCTGAGTCCAGTCACCCTCGACCCATCTCGGTTGCAGGTCACCCCGGTCCAGGTCTTGCAAGCCGGGAGGTTCTCGTCCCAGTCAAGAGCCCTGGAGTGGGGGAGTTTCTTCGCAAACTCGAGCAGAGCTTGCTTGTCTTCTTCAATGGTGGAAGCCCCTCCTGACAAGAAGAAGAAGAAGAAGAAAAACCAACGCATCAGAGCACAAAATGACCAAATCTGTCTCAACCCCTCCATCTAAAAAAAAAATTCTGTTTTAATTTACACTTCTATCTTTTTTATAGTAGCCAAACATGAAAGAATATATATAAACACAATTCAAGGTTCCAAGAATGGTTCAAGAGTTTAAATTAAAGAAGAAGAATGGGAGATGGCAACGTTCTTGAATAAAAGAGGGAATTTTGATTCAAGTTAAAGGGGAGGAGAGGGAGGAGCTTTGTGCCTGAAAGACTGAAACTGAAGAACAGAAGAAGCTTTTCCTTTTCTTGTTCAATCTTTTACTTTTACTTTTTCTTGTGTTTTGTAAATGAAATACAAAAAATGTGCTTTTGCTCAATGGGTGCAAAAATCCAGGAGGTGATAAGAGAAAAAGAAAGAAGGGGGTTGAAAGGACCAATGCCACCACATGGGTGCACCTATGGTAGCACCCATGTGGTGGCACCCTAGCATTTTCCTTAAAATTTGAGAGAATTTTTGTCTCCTGTTTGATTTTGAATGCTAATTGGGCTTCTCAAGGTTTCCTAGAAAAATGTTTGGCTATTTTAATCAAATCTTGAGTAATTTATTTGTTTAGTTTATTGTTTTTTTGAAACATTTAATTTTATTGTTTACTTGGGTTTCGTTTGGTACACAGAATTCAATCTACGGAATTTGAATTGAAAACTTCAATTTCAGCTCTAGTTATTGATAACACAGAAATATATGGATTTCGAATAAGTAGTGCCAAAAATGAATTAGAATTGGAGAATTCCATTCTATCGAATTTTATTCCATAAAATTTTAATTCCAATTCTATCAATTCCGTATACCAAGCGAACCCTTAATAAAATAATATAACTTTGTTACCTCTTAATTTCTAGATTTTTTTAAGCAATCAATATTCCATACATAGAAATATTTGCATTAAATAGCACTAAAACTTAAGTCATACTCGGTATAACGGTATTTATGTAGAAATGAAGTCCGGTGCCAACCAACTGCCACTTCCCAACTCCAAGAAAAACAAGAAACTGTGCTGATCGATAGTGTGATGTGTCTCATTAGCCCAGAAATTTGAATCCAACATTTTCTTTCACATGAGTTTTGGGATGTTTCATCCTTTTCACAATGTGTTTCACACTATATTCTCTGGTCGATTCAGTTTTAGTTGTACTCTTTCATGCACGATGTATCATTGCTCAAAAAGTAACATATTATTTACAAAAAAAAAACATTGATTTTACCCACACAAAAAAAAATTGATGCCCCATTTTACCTTAACATTTTACCTACTTTGCATACTATTTTATCCCAAAAAACATTTACTCCCTCCATCCAAAATCATTTTCTCACATTTTTACTTTTCTAATAAAGTAAGAAATATGTGGTTCACATATTTTTTCTTTTGTCTAATCAAATTTCAACAACTCATTTTTTATTACTACTAGTATTTCTACCCGTGCCATGCACGGGTTCAAACGGAATTTTTTTCGATTCTATAATGTGGATCTTGATTTGAATTTGACATATTATTTAAAGGTCAAATATAAATGATCTATGTTTAATGTATTTTTACAAATTTATAATTTTTATCGCAGTATAAATTCGAAAATATATTAATACAAAAGTATTAGTGATCCAATGATTTTTTTTCCTCACATTAATTTAAAAAACCTAAATTACCGACCTTATAATTATATACTTCCTCTGTCCCTAAATATTTGTCAACTTTTGACTTTTTTTGTCAGAATTGGTAAGTTTTGACCTCAAATTAAATAAAAACGATATTAGATATTGATACAAAATTAGTTTTATTAGATTTATTATATCATCCATTTTCAAAATAATTTTTATATACTTAATATATAATATATATTTTATTTAATTCTAAGTCAAATATTGAAAACAATTAGTCGGAAAAGTCAAAACTGGACAAATACTCAAGGACGGAGGTAGTAATTAAAAAATAGGATTCTTCTCATCCATAATCCTTATCTACCCCCCCACCCCCACAATGATTATAAAAAATTATTATTCATTCTTGCATTATTAAAAAACAAAATCTTAAATTAGTGATTGTAAATCTTTATGATTAAAATTTTAATTTTAAAATATTAAGAATCAATTATTCTTCTCCCTCACATTTATTTTAAAAAACATTAAAATCTTAGTGCTCTAATAATTTTGTCGGGATAGTATTCTGGTCAAGATATAAAATGTTCTATCAAAATACAAATAGTTACAAATGAGAAATTGTATTTTCTTTAATGTAGTTGTAACCTGTAACTAAGTCTCGAACTTATTAGCTACTGCACTTTGGATTTTCTGCACAATTTTTCCTAATTTTTTGATTATCCTAAATCTTTATTGTCACAAATCTTCTTTGCATAAATCTGTGTCGTCTCATAAAATATCATCTTATGAAGTTTCCAGGTACGGTTGCGTAAATGAAAACGTAGGAAGTAAGTTCTCTCTCATTCAAAATTTCTTAATTTTATTTATAAACATTTTGAATTCTAACACAATAATAATATAAGTATGTACTGAGTAAATTGTAAGTTACAATATAAGTTTATTTTATTTAAAAATAGTAAACCAAGTTACCGAGATAAAGTTTAAAAGTCCTATTAAATCTTTTTTTAATTTGTTTATTTTAAAAATTCAATATTTTAAAATAGTCAAATTGCATGGAAATACTTTTATTTCATATCACAATTAGTCATCTTGCCATAAACAAAACTTTCATGTAAGATATGCATTGAGTCAATCTCATAGTAGACATATTATCCATTTGTCTAAAAATAAATTACATAATCATGACACGTATAATTATTCCTTAAAAAATATAGTCTTAAATCTTTTAGTCACCTAATTATAAATTATAAATTTCTTTGTGTAATCTCGAAATAGTCTCTTCGAATAATGTATTTTCCAAATAAGTGTTTTTAAGCATTAATTATCTGTGGAGTACTTTATAGTTGAGATTTATTCACTCAGTGTCTTCCGTATATGTTTCTTAAATCAATGTTCAGTGGAGAAAATTTAGGTATTTTCAACATTTAAATGAAGAGTAATTTTTCAAAATGACCCTTTTGGATTAGCCTTTTTCTAATTAGGTCTCCGTTATAATAATTATAATTTTATCTCAATTGTACATTTAGGGGCATCTTAATGTGTTGTGTCCTTCTATTAGCCACTCATGTTTAAGCTAGTAAATTTCAAATTTCAAATGAAAAATATGTGATTCCCTTTTTTTGCAAATATTGTTTTGTTGTATATATCCCATGCAAATACTTTTTTGTGTTTTTTTAAAAGTGCTTGTTGTGACTTCAATGAAGTCAAAAGTGAAATACCTATGATTATTTTTAAATGTTTTTGTAATTTTTCTTTGTGAAAACCCTTGTAACTATATTTGTTTTGCTTTTCGAAACTAAATTCATATTAAGTGAAAAAATTTTGGTATGTAAAATATATGTGATTATTTTTATGTGATAATTTTTTAAAATTTTATGTGAAAAATGTAACTATTATTTTAGAAGTTTATTTTAAAAATTTATACTATTATTTTAATTATTTTAGAAGTTGATTTTTTTAATTTTTTTTTAAAAAGAATTTTAGTTCTCACTCAATTGCATAAAACTTCATGTATTGTTCTAATTTATTTAACAATACTTCCTTTGTGTTTGGATTTGTTTTTCTCAATTGACTTTTCTTGTCAATTTTGTATACTTAAACACCAATATAAGAACAAACTTTGTCTTTTGGTAGAAATACATTATAAATATCTTCTTTTTGAAACTAAGAAATCTCTTAATATTTGGTGACTCCTATTTTGGAACAAAAATGTATTTTTATTACAATATTTTCTCCATGTTTATTCTTATTCTGGTACAGAGTAAGTTTTTCCAAAAAAATTATAGCAACACTGTACATAAGACATATACTCCGTATACAACTTAAATTGGATCTACTCATATTTTGATTAAAATTGTCACGTCATTCAATCGTTAATAGGTGGCTGGTGATCTGTTAAAATGTTGCCATTTCGTCACTTCTCGCAATTCTAGGAGATTAACTCTCAAATTTAATATGTAAAGATTCAGAAATATTTACCAAACTTTTAATTTCATATTTTCCACATCAAAATCTATGTGACATATTAGGTGTTAAAAAGAGGCTCACGAGTAAGTCACATGTCAGTTCTTAATTACACGAGTCTCATTTTTATACATTTAGGAAAAGATAAAAAAATTGCATATTTTTCCTAATTTTTTTATGTTCATTATATTTATATATTTGGCTAATTTAAACTTATTCTGTTTGTATGAGAATAATATTAAATATAAACTAATGATTATTAAAATTGTACATTTTTCCTAAAAAAATTTACTTTTTTAAATCTGCACTAAGTTAAAATTTATACTGAAAAAATATATTTTAAATTAACTAATCATCTATTTGTGTTCAACTTTTTCTTCTTTCTAAAGAATATTTTGATCTAGTTTTTAAATATTATATTAAATGTATGTGAAATTAATATATAGGGGAAGTGTGTATCTTATCTACCATTATAAGTTACGTTGTAAATGAAAAGAAAATTTTTTTCGTTTTAAGTTCAGTAGTCCATATAATTTTTGAAGAAATATGTGAAATTTTATTCGTTACGGAGTATTTTTTATATTAAATAAAGTCATTATAATAATAATTAGATCAAAATTTTATTACTAAATGTTAAAAGTTCTCATTTTTAATTTGTTTTAGTTTGTTTTGATTTATTTTTGTTTTCTATAAAAATGATTTAATATCCTTTTTATTCAATTGACTAATTTTTAAGCTTAATTGGAGTCCGAGCAAAACATTATGGTAAAAAATTTACTGAAAATTTTGTTAGTTAAAATAGAAACTTTTCTTTTTTCCATTAATAATTTTTATTTTATGCAATATTATATTTATGTTTCACTAATTTTATTAAGTTACATAATTTCTTTTATTATATCATAAATTAGTCGAAGGAAAGTTCGATTCAATTCTCTTGATGACATGGCTGATTAGGTGTCAAAAAACATTCTAGTCATCACGCCAAATGTTGCAATTCTGAGAGTTTAACTCTCAGATATTATATATAAAGGATTCAACACTTATATATATATATATATATATATATATATATATATATATATATATATATATATATATATATATGATCAAACGAGAATGCAATTTAATAAAAGAAATAAGAATGCACCTCGTGCATTAGATGTAAGATCAAAGGATTTGAAAAATTCAAAAAAAAACTGAAAAGATCTAAAAAAAAATGTGGTGTCATTATGGTAAATAAGTTAAGCTTTACTCCTTGTGCCGAAAATGTACTACCACAACGTACAAATGCATCGTGACGGCATAAAAATGCACCACCATTCTCAGGTTTATTCTCGCAGTAACATCTTTGGATTTTTTTTATTTATAATTGACACCACTATGTTAGTTTATTAAAAGAATCATATGTAAATTTTAAGATTCATTGAATCAAGACTACAGATTAAAAATACTTTTCATGTGTAGTGATAAAATAATATTTTATTAAAACTAATATATACAATCGTAAATGTTTTAAATATTACATTTGGATTCACGAGTTTTAAAATAGGCAACTATTATGTTGGAAAAAGAGTAAAAGAAAGGTGGTGAAAAAATTGAAAGAAATGAGGTAAAATTTTTAAAAAAACGTAAAATATCAAAAAAAAAAGAAGAGTTAATTTACATTATAATTTGCAACTTAAGCAATGCACATATAGGCTTGCATCAGGCATTAAAATTTGCTACATAGGCATGAAAAAGTTACATCCATACCTCATCTGATTATTTTCCAGCCATTTTCCGGCAAAGAAGACATTGGTATCGATTTTTTAAACCATTGTGCTCATTTTTTATTTTTCATTTATTTTTTGTTTTCTCATTTGTTCCTTTATTTGTTTTTTTAATCAAGGTTTTTTAATTTTTTTAAAATAAAAAAGTATGTCTCGAATTAGCAATTTTTATTTTTTGTTTCCTGAAATAAAAAAAGTAAAAACTTTATTTTGAGAACTTCAAAAAATAAGGAATAAAATAAAATAAAAAATGAATATCCTCTTAGGGCTTTTTTAGCGTTCTAAAAAATTCCATTTTTTATAAGATTTTTTTCATGTTTTTGATTTTTTCATTTCGTTTTCCCATATTTTTATTTATTTTTTATTCTAAGTTTTCTTTATGACTTAGGAAAAAAATTATTCAAAAAAATGTGAAAATGTTTAATTTGAGATAGATGGAGCATATGTTCATTTCTTTTATTTTATGTTTCAAGCACAAAGAATTGTTAAATTTCAAAAATATTTTTAAAAAATGAACATAAATTAAAAAAAAACTTTTCTAAGAAAATGAAACGACTAGATTAAAAAGAGATAAAAAAGGAAAAAAAGCATAATAAATAAACAAAATAAGAAATGAGTACAATGTTCCTTGTGATTTACTACGTAGAAAATAGACACTAAACCCCCTCTTCGCCGGCAAATGATCAGAAAATAATCTGAGTGAGTGTGGGTGCAACGTTTCGAAATTACGAAGACTTTAGAATTAAATTTTGAAAGTAGAAGAGATATTGGTACCAAATTTCCAAACGAATGCCTAAAACAAAACTTAAATATTTTTTTCAATTTATTTTATTTAAAGATCGATATAAATATAAAAATAAAACTTATATATAAAAAATTACGGCAAAATTTCTATGGTACAATAGGCGACATGAATAATTTAATTATCAAATAATAAAAAGTACACAAATAAATAGTAATTTTTTTTATAATTTTTGAAGAGTGAGGTGTGACATTATTACATGTTGAAATAAGCTATGTGTATCCAAAAAATTGTACTAGTATGATGTTAGTGTGATAGTTTGCACTGACACTAAATGTCAGTGCAAATTTTTTTGATTGAACTAATATTTTTAGTCAATATAAACTACTCCCTCCGTTTCTTAAAACCCTTCCTCTTTTATTTTTTTTTGCTTTTCTTAAAACACTTTCCTTTTCTATTAAAAAACCATTTTTACCCCTACTTTTTCATACCCTACCTATCACATCATACTTTTTCAGTAATAACTAAACTATCACATCTTATTTTTACCCATCACATCAGGGGCAAAATTAAAAAGTCAACTAAAATTACACTTTCCTTATTTTTTCTCAAAGTCAAAACAGGAATCGTTTTGAGAAACGGAGGGAGTATAAAATGTTATTCTAGAATTACTTATGGTTGTTAGATGTTTTAGTTAAAAATGCTCCAGTTGGAATAAGACTGGCACGTGGGAGTTTGTTGACGTTGCAATTGCATCTGGTTCCTTTTTTGTAAACTCTCCCGGCGAAGAAAATCCGACCTCCGACGAACACCCGATCGGTTTCTCCAATCCTTGATCGTGATCGGATTCAGAACCAATCATGAACGACGGCGATATATCGAAGCAGATCCACCAGATGGTCCGGTTCATCCGCCAGGAAGCAGAGGAGAAGGCCAATGAGATTTCTGATTCCGCGGAGGAAGTAAATCTCTTTCCACTGGAATCTCAATTTCAATTTCCCCTGCATATTCTGTTGGACATCACTGCCGTAAGCGGTTGAAATAAGGAGAATGGATTGATTTAATGTACTTAGTGCCATTGTTAGGAATTCAATATCACGAAGCTGCAACTAGTGGAAGCTGAGAAGAAGAAGATCAGACAAGAGTTCGACCGCAAAGAGAAGCAAGTTGACGTCCGCAAGAAAATGTAATCTTCTGAATTTCTTGTTTCTCTCTTCCTGGTTTGGCTTGTGTTCTTATCTTAGATTCTCGATGTTAATTGAAAGTATCAAGTGTGTCTTAATTTGTTACTTCATATTGAATCCTTATAAGATTGAAAATGGCCTTCATTATGCCCCTGTTACACAATATTTTAGCTTGTGATATCTAATTGCTAAGATTGGTTTGAATTGCTCTTGTCTTAGACATGAAAACTATCAGAGTAGGTTTACTTAAAAGTTCAATAGATAACGCCGGCCGTAGGAAATCCAGTCATCATAAATAGTCCGAGAAGTTCAGTTGTTATTCACTCCCTCTGTCCCAAATTGTTTAGCACATTTCAAACAACATGCAAAATTTTATCTTTTTAAAATCGTTTTATTTACAAATTGGTAAAGAAACATGTAAATCTTTTTATTTACAAATTGGTAAAGAAATTGGTAAAGAAGTTCAGTTGTTATTCACTCCCTCTGTCCCAAATCGTTTTATTTTCAAAAGTACATCAAAAGTTCTACAAAACAATATGCAATAAGAATATTAGTTTTATCAAATGGTCACCGAAAACGAGTAAACAAACAAAAGTTATCGAGAGGTCGAAATAGTAACTGTGACATTCTTTTTGGGACTGAGGAAGTATATCTTATTTGAATTGGAATCACAACTTTCCTATTCTTCATTACTGTCATGTTTGTTTCCAAGATCTTTTCAAGCTTGGGGTCATGGAAGCTGGAACTTGCTAGGACATCTAATATCCATGAAAGCCAATTTACTGTTTATAATCAAAAGGTGATTTTAGTTACGATTATTCAGTTTGTAATCCCATCTAATTTTGAAAGGTTGCTACGAAATGTTGCTAGTGCATGGGCTCCTTGAGATCTTGCACACCTACAGCAACAACTTTACTCCTACAGCCTGCCTATAAGGAGTGGAGAGGCTTTCTAAATCTTGGACCTCATTCCACAAAATAAAGCGTTTGGTGTACTGTCTATTAACCAGAGTGGCCAGCTTTTCCATGATTAACCAAATACCCCTCGTTCCTAAAATGAAGTTTACAACTTGATTTTTACAGTCAAAATTTATAAATTTTGACAACAATTTGCAATAAAATATATTGAGTCATAATTTGACTTTAATATCGTCAATTTCATTTTGAAATGTAGTTTTTGAATATGTTCAGTTTATAATCTTTATTTATCACCGTATCATTAATGATATTAATAGTCAAAGTACCATGAAAGTAAAATTGTAAACCTCATTTTAGGGAGGCATTAAGCTAGTTTTTATAGTAATTGGGCTTGTACAGTATTCATATTTTCCCAGTTCATGACTCTAGTTACTCAAATTTACGGACCGATCTAGTAATATCCGACGGATGGTAGAGAGCTTGTTTCTAAAAGACCCTGGCTCAAACTTATGTTGCTCACTAGGTTTGGATAATGAAAAATCCAAAAAGTGTATAAGTAATACGATTAATTAAGAAGAGAAAATTGGGAGGAAGGAAAACAACTACACCACATAACACCCTTTATAATTCATTATCAAGCTATATGTTGATGCATCGTTGTGCCTTTTCGTGTATATATTTCTTCTGTTATTCTTCTATTATGAGCTTCCTTCATGCTTATGAAGTGGATCTTTTCGTAATCAAGTCAACTTTCTTTCTGCTATTGGTACATCAGCTTGCCACTAATATCTCAAACTAAGATGTATATATTATATGAGATCCAGACTTTCATTCAGCATAAATATGTGGTAGCACTTCATTACAGGAGCTTCTAGATACATTATGTTGACTTGGGACTGTCTGGTCTATTTGAATAACAGCTGTTTGAAATGTATTATTTGGCGAACAGAATAACATTTCTTTACAATGTCTTTTTGCAGTGAGTACTCCACGCAGCTCAATGCTTCTCGAATCAAGGTCCTTCAAGCTCAAGATGATTTGGTGAACTCTATTAAAGATGCAGCATCAAAGGAGCTTTTGCGTGTCAGCCATGACCACCATAGCTATAAGAAACTTTTGCAAGATCTTATTGTTCAGGTAGTGATGCTTAGAAAATCCTTACTGTACTTTGGCCTAACTTTTGCAAGGGAATTAATGACGAATTCATGATGATCTACCCCTAAATATTAGTATCAAAATCCCATTCTAACTCCAAGGTACATTGTATTTCAGGGTTTGCTTAAACTTAAAGAGCCTTCTATTCTGTTGCGCTGCCGGGAAAATGATGTAGAATTGGTAGCAGATGTCTTGCAGTCAGCCAAAGAGGATTATGCAGCAAAGGCTAGGGTTCACCAACCAGAGATCATGATTGACAAAATCTTTCTTCCACCTGCTCCTTCACATCATGGTGCACATGGTCCTTCCTGGTATGATGTTCACATGATTCCGTTAATTCAAGGACCACAAAAATAAAATTTTATTGCTACTTTCTGATAAGTTTTCTTCACCAACAGCTCTGGAGGAGTTGTTTTGGCTTCCAGAGATGGAAAAATTGTCTGTGAAAACACTCTTGATGCAAGATTGGAGGTTTTGTTCCGTAAAAAACTCCCTGAGGTACTCTCTCTTTGACACAATCCAACCCCTCACACCCAACCCTCTTAAAAAAGAAACTGGTTATATGAATCTGCTCCCATTATAGTTAATTTAAGTGGTCAACCCCTAAACGGTTCATGTTGGGTTGAGGCAGTCCAGACATTTTTTTAATTTATTTTTTTAGGCGGGGGAGGTGGGGCGGGGCAAAATAATGCCATTTTATTCAGCTATTATTTTATCTTGGACAACAGTCAGTAAAAAACAAATGTGTATTATTGATAATGTGGAACCGTTGATGTTTTCTTCCGTTTTTCTTGAGTTTCCAGTCATTGACTAGTAGCTAGTGTTAAGGAAAGCCACGTTTCGGTGGAGCACCACCATGCAGTGGAGAGTGTGTGGTGTATGGCATGCTCTTGGTATATGACTGCGTCTGGCTTAGCTCTGGTGGTGTGCCAACCAAGGTGCTTATGACGTAAATGAACAGGGGAATATTTTTTTGGTCATTTGATCTCAATTTAATCCAACTAGATTGGGTATTTGTATGATGAAATATACATAAAAATGTTAGGTATTTAGACACACAATTTTAAAAAACAATCAAGCAGCCGTATATGCATGCTCAAAAAACAATCATAGCTCTTTTCAGGGAGGCGTCTAGGCGTTAGGCGGTCCTCAGTCGTCCTTACCTGGTGCCTTCATTTGATCTAATTATGAGATGATGCATTATTTCTTTATTTCTAGAAAAAAATGAGTCTATATGCGTGCACATATGTATATCGATTTTTGACACATTGCAAGACCCCTCCCATACAAATAAATAATCTTAACGAGCTTTTCGTCTTCTCTCTATAATATACTGCAGATCCGCAAGCAACTCTTCGGAGCCCAATAAAAGGGTGAAGCCGCTGGCAAACAGGAAAATGGCAATCATCACCCCCATCAACTACCTGCTATATTGCCCCCAGTTTGTACTCTCGTTTCGTCTTTCCCTTCGAGCCTTTCTTGGAATAGAAAATTGCAGGTTTACGCTTAGTTATTTGATCTTTCGCAAACCTCATATTGGTCTGCAGTATTTTTTTTCTTTATCATGTTAGATTTGAAGCCTGTGATATGTGTAGTAAGGAATGAGTGTAGGTTTTGGACTAAGCAAAGAGACACACAATAACACTAGTATGCCATTATTTCTAAGTCTCAATTTAATTTATTCATGTTAATAATCGTGAAGCCCTTTTTGTTATAGGTGAGAATGAAAATCTAGTTGTGGCAAATGAATAATAAATAAATTTGATAGATTAATGATTGAAAAGGGAAAAGTAAGTACACTTCATTAGAGTGATAGTGTGTGATTCACGCCATCATGTCTATTACGTCATCGCACTCAACGTCACGTTAATTTTTCTCTATCTCGTTATAATCCACCACTGGACAAAGGTGTGGATACTCACCGTGCCCAATTTTTTCATTTATTTAAATCTAAATTTTCTTAAAATAAATACTTTAAATAAATAATTTGTTGGCATTAAAATTACATTGACAAGACTAAAAAGGGAGAGCTAATATTAAAGGAATCTAAGCGAAAAAAATACCGATTAAAAATATACAAATTAAAAATAATTGAAAAAATTTTTAAAATAAAAAACTAAAAACAAAAATTGCCTCTCAAAAAAATGAAGAAAAAATGGCGGCCATGAACAAGAAACTAGAAGAGGGCATTGTCGAAGAAAAAAAATACTAAAAAAGGAAATGAAGTGTGATGATCGTGGTGGGAAGGTGTTCCCTCTCCATCATGCACCGAGGTGGACCACATTAGTCTTCACGGCACATCACGTCACACACAATCATCAGCCTTACAACAATATGTAAAGTTACTTTCATAGGTATGAAGTACAAAAAAATGGATTAGAATCCTTCATTACAACAAAATTGATTTCCCTTCATATTAACCAAATTTTCCTCTAAAATCTAAATTAAAGCTATTTTATAAATACTCTTTTTCTTACTAAATGTAGAAGGATTATGCTAGACGTACACCACTTTGATATATGCCGCTTGTATATTAGTGTGTTACAAACACACACAGACAATAATTACATTTGTGCAGAGAACACCTAGTATTTTCGAGTTTAGAAAGAACTCTAGCCCTTCTACTTCTTTCATGCATTTTTCTTCTACATTTTAACTTTTCTTATGAACCATTGTTTTTTTAACTGAGTATCTTAGGAGGCCCAATTAGAGCACAAGTCAATGCCACGGGTTTTCAATGTGTTTGGAACCCTTCCGCTAAACAAAAACTTTGCACATACTTCCCTCAACCTATACTTTTGTTTTCTTTTTTATTTAACACAAATTTTGATAAAATAAAGTTTGTGTGATTACAGTTTATATAGAGGAAAAAGAAATTATAAGAAAAGGAAATAATTCTGACATGATCAAAAGGGGAGAGCAAAAGATAATACTGAGTAGAAATCACCATAAATAGGACTAAAACATTGAGAAAAGTACCAAAATAGGACTTTTATGTTTTTTTCAAAATAAGATTTTGCACTGTGGTAATGTGACATTGTACATATACACATTAGTATACTTTTTTGGTAATGTACATGACCATGTATGGTAATGTAAGTCCTATTTCAAAAATAAAAACATGAAAGTCCTTTTTTGATATATTTTCTATGTTTTAATTCTACTTTGGTCATTCTCCCAATAATGAGAAGAGAATTTTAAAAGGATGAGCCATGTCCAAGGGCCCTCGGACCCAAACAGACAGTCACTAAATAGAGATGATTTAGATTTTGATTAGAGATTGTCTAGACGAGAGTTTCTAAGTTCTAACAATAGTGACTACTCTTACTTCTCCCTCCTCACAATAAAGAAAAAAGTGCGGCTTCATAGAAATTGTGTTAAACTATGACTCTTTTTTTACAATTATTCATTTTTCTTAATGGGTTAAATATTATAGTACTTTGTACTTTAAGATTGTAATCTCTTCTTTTATGTTTTGTCTTCTAAGTTCTAACCTCACTTTTGGATGGGTTAGGCCGACCCACACTTCACATGGACTAGACAAGGTTAATTAATTACCAAGTGTGGGCGGTCTAGGCCTGGGTACTATTCTAACCGGGTATATTGAGCTTGATTCACCCTACATATTGGGGGACATGTCCCGGTATAGGGTTTCTCTTCCGTTCAACTTATTTTTCCTGCTCATTCTTTAATTTTACAAAAATTAGATCGGATCAGACCGGAGATATCACACCAGCTCAAATAAAAAGCATTGTTCTTTAGTCTCTCGTTGTAGGACGGATCGTGAGCTCGGAGCGAAGATGGAGAATTCCATTGATGAAGTAAGGGCTATCCTCGGCAACAAAAGCACTCCATTGTACCCCAAACAAGTTCCTATACCCAACAGCCTTCCCGCCATTGAATTTGTAGTTCCCCTTGTACTTGCTCACATACTCCTCTGTGGGCTTCGTCCGAGCTCCAAACTCGTAGTCGACCGCAAACGATCCAGACCCTTTCTCCTGCATGCCCAAGAAAAGCCCGAAGCATGAGAACTGACTCAGTTGATCCATGTTGCAATGTGCTGACAGAAAGAACCCTTGTCCCCCTAAATGGAAGGCTTGTGAGTAAACCTTGCCAGCAGGGTAAAGATTCGAGCACTCTTCTCTCCTTAACTCTAGGTACACGATGCACTGTGGGCGAGGGGTTTCCAACTCGAGGATTTTTACTGGCCTGTACTTGTAGGACCGCTCCACGAAACGATGAAACAAGATATTGTCTTCATCGACAGCTAAGGAACGCTGTCGGTATGGTGGTTCTGATTTGAAAAGGAGAGCCTCAATTACAACCTTAGAGGCAAGGTCGGGATCGAAGTCGTTGCAGGTTAAGATTTTCCTCAACTTCCGGCACGACATGAGTGGGAACCTAATGTGGCGAGAAAGGCGTGATCCTAATATTTCGCGCCGTTCCTCTAACTTTGGGTAGTGGATCCGGGCCCACTTTAACACAATGTCAAAAACAGCATCCTCTGATGCAATCTGGAGGTCATCATTAGACAGAACTGCCTCAATTCCTGCTAGAGGCAAGTTCAATACCTCCTCTAGGAACCTGAGAAAATAATTATATAAAAAAAAATCAATTTCCAAAAGAAATAACAACAAACTCCTGCTCAGTTCCTTTACCCAGTGTTGGATAAAGAAAGAGTCGTGGTGGGTTCAAAAGCAAGTTCATAACCGAATTAACTTTCGCAATGACAACTCCTGTAAAAGTATAGTAAAAGTCGTTGATGGAGAAACTGACTTGGTTATATCCTTGAAACTAGCAGCAAGGAACTTCTTAGCAGCATCTGCCAAAGGCTGAACCGCTTCAGCCATTGAAACGTTACATTTACAAGGAAGCTCCAAATAGAGAAAGGCGGATTCACAAGTCATGGGTTGATCTTGCAGTAATCGGCTACAGTATCTAATGCATGATGCAACCTCGAACTTGTCAGCAGCCATCAACAAATCGAGCAATGCAGTTGGAGTTGGACTTGATAATGTATTACCATACATAAAAGTCAGCAGGTCCATAAAGGCAGCCTCTTCTGCTCCAATACAAAGACAGTGAGACTGAGTTGCTCTGGAACACATTAGGATATGATAACAATAAATGGAAGCATGACAAAAGGTCAAGAGCAGTGGAAAAAATGAACCATCTCATTTACTAATGCCTTGTGCTTGTGTCTAGAACTAGATGGTCACCCATGAATGAAGCACATAATACAGATCTGTGCCCACAAACCATCAGTGACTAATATGATATGAGCTCACATTTATATATTTACAAGTAAATGTTGGGCCAAGGTATAGCTTTTAAATGTGATATGAGCTCACATTTATATATTTACAAGTAAATATTTATGCTTTACTTTTTAGGAAAGTAACTTCATCATACTAAACTCGTTTGCAAGTTATTTAGCATATCAAAGTTCGTAATTATCGCATAATAAAGCTATGCCTTGGAAATTCTAACAACAGAGATCCCAATGCGGCTATGCTAAAAACACGCAATGCAAAGGCTTAGTGGAGAATGAATACCATATTTTAATTGAGCAGATACTACATTTTAAAAAGCCCACTCTTTCAGAAAAAAACTTCCAAAGAGCTGTGTGACTCATTACTTGTTGTTCTATGACTTCTGTTTTGCAATTGGATACCCCACTACCAGTTTACCACTGTGAATGGTTTTTCTTCTTTGATTTAAAATATGATGTTTCAACATACTATTTTGATCGTGTTATGAGCTTTATGGATTTGACTAAGAAGCTTCTTGAGTTTTATTGAATTTTTTTATTGCATTATCTTAACTTTCTTAAGTAATTTATAATACGGAGTATTATGTACTACGTATTAGTTTTCTGTAAAAATGTACTAAAAACTGAGGTTTATGCAATATGCAATAGAGTCAATAGAGAATTATGGAGAAGAAAAGAACTTCGGAAGTTCTTAAAAGAGATTCATGGTCAAACTACAGGTGCTTGGTGTATACTAGGGGACTTTAATTCAGTCCTCGGTACTAATGACAGAATGGGGGAATACCAGTGAATTTGGAAGAGACAACAGATTTTAAGCAATGCATTTCTTACTGTGAACTGGAAGAGCTTCCTTTTGAAGGAGCCTACTACACCTGGACGAACAAACAAGAGCCAGGTAAGAGGATTCAATCTAAACTGGATTGGGCATTTGCCAATGAGGACTAGATGGGTACCAAGAATACAAAGACAAGGGTAATGGAAGATGGCATTTCTAATCACACGCCACTGCTGATAACTCATATTGATCTCCTAGCCAAAAAAAACGATATTCAGAGTTTCAGATTCTGTGATATGTGGACCACAAACCCAGAGTTTGATCGTATCATGAAGAATTATTGGAGTATAGATATACAAGGTAGGAGTATGTTTCAGTTACCTCAAAAACTGAAAGTACTTAAACAACCTTTGAGGAGGTTACATAAGGAAATATTCCATCAGATTCATATCCAATGTGATATGATTATGGAAAGGTTAGCTGCAATCAAAGGGGACTTGAGTAAGGATCCATTAAGTCCAGAACTCATCAAAGAAGAGAAGATTATTAGAGAGTTCTAAAGAACACTGAAGGCATCATACTTGATGAAGAGACAACAAATGAAGTTAACATGGATGAAGGAAGGGGACAAAAATACTACGTAGTTTTTTTCACACATGGGTGAAAAAGAGAAAACTCCAGAATCATATAAGATTTGTTTATAGCAGTAAAGGGGACAGGGTTGAAGGGACAGAAGTGGTTGCAAAAGAGATGATCCATTTCTACACTCAGATGTTGGGGACTAAAATCCAGACTGAAGAAATAGACACCACTGTCATCAATGAAGGAAAAGTCCTAAACATTGCGCAGCAGCTAGAACTAATTGATGGGTTTAGCCCTCAACAAATTGAAAAGGCTCTTTTTGAAATCCCAAATACAAAAGCCCGGGTCCAGATGGATATAACAGTGGTTTCTTTAAATCACAATGGAAGTATGTGGGTATTCTATTTATGGAGGCAGTATTAGAGTTTTTTCAGGCCAATAAGACTCTAAAACAGATCAAAGCCACAAGTATTACAATTATTCCCAATAAGGACAACCCCAAATACCCTTCTGGCTATAGGCCCATTGCTTGTTGGCAATGTGGTATACAAGACCATTTCAAAATTCCTGAGCAATAAGTTGAAAAGGATTCTGCCTGACATTGTGAATTGGAACCAAGGAGCATTTATAAAAGGGAGAGAACTGCTTCACAATGTGTTATGCCAAGAATTAGCAAAGGGTTACAAGAGGAAGGGGTCACCTCTCCTAGGTGCCTCATGAAGTTGGACATACAAAAAGCATATGATTCCATTAGTTGGGAAGCTCTAGAGGAGATTTTGATCAAAATGAAATTTCTTGATAAGTTTGTGAAGACTGAAGTGGGTAATGTTTTGTATTACTAGCCCAACCTATTCACTGATGATCAATGGGGAATCTCATGGGTTTTTCCAAGGACAAAAATGGCCCAGACAAGGAGACCCTTTATCTCCATTACTGTTTGTTTTGGTAATGGAATACCTTACTAGGCTTCTTCAGCACCAAGCTAGGAACTAAGTTTTTAAATTCCATCCAATGTGCTCCTCCTTAAAAGTCATAAATTTTGTTTTTGCAGATGATCTTATAATTGCAAGTAAAGCTGATATTGGCTCTGTCCAAAGTATTATGAACACTCTAGAGATTTTCAGAAGATGTACTGGCCTCAGGATTAATAAGGATAAATCTCAGGTGGTATTTGGAGGCTGTAATGAGCAGGTTCAAGAATATATCTTGAGAATAACAAAAATTCCAAAAGGAGAGCTACCTACTTGGGGAGCCCAGTCTCTGCTTCCAGACTCAGTAGCAGGGATTGTGACAAGCTTGTGAAGAGTATTACAACAAAAATCACAGCCTGGAAGTCCAAACATATATCCTATGGTGGCAAGGTGAATTTGGTCAACACAGTACTTATGGGAGTAATCACCTTCTGGGCAAGAAATTCCATTCTACCTAGAATGGTTTTGGAGAGAGTATAAAGAAGTCCCTCCAATACAGTGGAAAGATGTTTGTTTACCAAAGAAATTTGAGGGGCTTGAAATTTGGAATATGCTAATTTGGAATCAAGCCACGATCATGAAGCTTAACTGGGACATTGCAAATAAGAAGGATATATTGTGGGTGCAGTAGATACATGCGAGGTATTTGAAGAACACTTCACTTTGGGATTATATTCCTAACCCTAACTGTTGCCAATAGTAGAGAAAAATGATAAAAGATAGATAGGAATTTGAAGGAATGAGCAGGAATGAAGAGTATAACACAACTAGGGGGTACTAGTGGCTGTCTGGACCAAAGAAAAGCCCTGACTGGTTCAAATGGGTATGGTGCAAATGGGAGAAACCAAAACACAGTTTCATATTCTGGATAATTATAAGGGGCATAATACAAACAAGAGTGAGACCGAAGAAAATCATGGACATTGATACTAGTTGTCCACTTAGTGGAGAGGGGGAAGAGGATATCACTTATCTATTCCGTAATTGTCCTTATACCTCAAGAGTATATGCTGCAGTTTTTACATGGCTGAATATCGACATCACAAGAAACAAACTAGAGGAGCTGGGGGGAAATATTGTGAAGGTATAGCCGGAACACAGGAGGGACGTTGCAATGGTAGCATGGTTGGCAACTTGCTAAGTTATTTGGAAGGCAAGAAACTGCAAGATACACCAGAAAGAAGTTATTTCTATTTCAAATTTCATGTTTTGTCTGTAGCTAATTGTAGATTAAAGGGTTAGGGTATGTAATGAGCTAATTTGGACTGATCTTGTACTATTTTGGAGTTTGGTGAATAAAGAGTACTTTGTTCAAAAAAAATAAAAGACAATTATGGACTTCCTTTTTTGGGATAATTTTTTTTCTCTTCCCTTGAGGGCAGACTGCAGAGGGGGAACTTGGAGTAGTATATATTTAAAGGGTTTTACTAGAATGAGTGAATATTTAACCATCAAAAACTGATAATGTTTGACTTTTTATTCACTCTGTTCTCCAACAAGTGATGTATTATAGAAATTTGTGTTACAAAGTATGCGCTGGTTTAGAAAATGAACGGCCACTAGAGAATAAGTAGAGTGGTTGGGGTGCACGAAATGTAACCCAAAGTCTCAATTTATATTACTACTATATACCCTCCTACACTACAACATCTATAATAGGTGGATGAGAGAGCTGATGAATAGTATTATAATCATTCTTTCACTAATCTTCTAGAACTCTAACAAATTCATTAATTTTTGTGAAAGCAAAAACCCTTAAAAGACACTTATTTGAGAAGTGAAGGAATGACTTTACTAAGAACGGAAGTACCAAACCTATAGAGAAGTTTACTTAAGAAAAAATATGCGGACAAGGAATTTCTTAGACTAATGAAGTAAAATGTTAGTCGTTTTGGCTTACCAGAGGCATGGATTCGTAATGTCACAAGCCACTGCTTGGATTCACTCTTTCCATTAGAGAACACGGGTTTATCACGTTTTCGTACTAAAGCCGTGTTCATTTTTATGACAGGTTTTGATAATGCCAAACCGCCGTGAACGAGACAAGTTGTTGAATATACAAGGCGAGAAATAAATATAAGAAGAAAGCAAGAGAACAAGAGTTAAACGAGACCAAGAACGAAGACCATAGTCTTTAACATCACTGAGTCAGTCACAATGTGATCAAGACCGACCCAAGCTTTGCACGTTGGCTCTTTAGGCTAAAACATTTTTTTATTGCATTTTACATATCATAAAAATTATTTTCAAACATGCTTAAACATATTAAAAACACTTGGTGTTTGCCCAAACCAAAAACCAAGCCATCCGGGGTTCGGCTTTCGGAAACCGGCTTTCGGTTTTCAGAAACCAGCGTTCGGCATTCGGTTATCGGCGTTGGTTTTTGGCGTCCGAACCAACCAAGTGGTTTTCAACTTTTTATGATTGGTTTTTACTTCTGGGCACATTTAAATAGTTTTCCATCAAAAACACTTCAAAAACCACCTTTCATTTTTTGTCGTTTGATAAAAACCATGCGAAACGGCATAAACTTGGCTAGTCATGGTTTTTACTTAAATGAAGTGGTTTTCGAGTCTTTTTGTCTGGGAATTGTTTTTGAATGCATTTAAATGGTTCTCCAATCAAAACATCATGAAAACCACCTTTTGGTTTTGTCTTTTGGTAAAAACCACGCGTGTACGGCGTTGACTTGGTCAACCGTGGTTTTTACCTTAACAACGTGGTTTTCAACTTACAAAGCTTGTTTTGACATCTCAATACATTAAATAAGTGTTTTAAATACTTAGTTTTTACTTTGGAGAACTTTGCATTTTTCGGTGAGGTTTCAGCGCCGGTCAGCTAGGCCATGGTTCTGGGCTAGCCATCTACCCAGCGATGGTAGATATCACCCATCCATGGATAAGTGATCCCAAGATTCCAGAATCATTCCACCCAGCGATGGGAGATGTTACCCATCGATGGGTAAGCAGCCTTTAGCCCAACTCAATTCCAGAACCATGCCAAACAGCGATGGGAAGTTCTACCCATCGCTGTTCAAGCCTTGGCCCAACATCATCACAAGGCAGAATGCCCTTACCCAGCGATGGGAACCTTTACCCATCGATGGGAACCCAACGATGGGAGGGCATACCCATCGCTGGTTAGGCATGACCGTTGTAAGTCATTTAAGGTTGATTCTTTCCTTGTTTGAAAGTCAACCTCCAACCCAGCGATGGGAAGCTTGTACCCATCGATGGGTAGGTGACCGTTGGCTTCAAAACTGAAGGAAAATTGTCTTACCAGTGATGGGTAAGTCCATACATCACTGGGAAAGCCAATATTCTGCCGATCCACATTTTAATCAATCCCATAAATCATGCCAATGACCCCTTTAATGCCATGATCTGTTGGAGCCTATTTTGGCACTATAAAAAGGGATGTTTGGGTCTGCTTTACCAACCAATTCACTTCACAATACTTATACTTTCATTGCATTCAAACAATATCATTTTCCATAGCTTCATAGAGCCAATTCGTGTGAAGTTTGAGTTGTTCTTGAGCGTATATTTTACTCAACATCTACTCTTGTAGAGAGTCTTGTTCTTGAGTGCTTTTAGTGTTGTATACACGTTAAGGGAAGCTTATTTCCCTTGGTTGTACGAAGGAAAGGTATCTCCTTCAAGTTGAAGTCTTGGAGTGCGGTAACTCCGAGCAAGTGTATTGAGGCTCGTGGGACTCGAGTTCTCATGTTGTAACGGTTTGTTGGGCACCCGTAAGCTTAACGGAAGTAGTGTAACTCGAGAGTCTCTCGGGAGACTGGATTAGCCACACGTTGTGGTGAACCAGTATAAATCTTGGTGTGCTCCCTTTATGCTTTCTACGCTCTTTATTTTTCACGCTCTTTATTTTTTATTCCTGCGATTTCTACGATCAAACGCNAAAAATATGCGGACAAGGAATTTCTTAGACTAATGAAGTAAAATGTTAGTCGTTTTGGCTTACCAGAGGCATGGATTCGTAATGTCACAAGCCGCTGCTCGGATTCACTCTTTCCATTAGAGAACAACTACGCAGAAAGAAAAAGTATGGTTACCAGCTATGTTGCACAGATTCCTCAAGTGCCACTTCCCATCCCCGAAACGTCCCATTTGGATACTTGGGGATGTCCCCACACCCAGATTCGTTGTAAAATTTAGAAAAACTGATGTTTACCCGTTCCCAACCCATGTCCCCTTCTCCATGCAACTTAGATAACCAGGAATTTAAAATGTTATGAGATGATGTACTACAAGTCTACAAGAACAAGGATCAAGGAACAAAAATAATAAAAATAAAAGAAAGAACCATGAAGGCAGCATAGATCATTGATTAAGCAGAACTACATGGAAAACACAAATCACAAACCTGGTAAAAAACTGGACTTTTTGCTGCCAAAATTGGTGAGCTAATATGTATGGTTTCAACTCTAAGGACATTTGAAGAATCCATATTTGGTAAGAAATCATTGCCATCAATAGCCTCCTCGCCTGTAAAATCATCTTATTAGTAATAGATTGATGATAAGACAGAACTAATAACTGCAATGCCCTATGATTAAATATCAATTTTATTTTTTTATATCTATCTTCACCATTGAGAAAATGATGAAATAGCAATTACAGAGTATAACTATAACTTACTCGGTGAAAAGGAATGGGTAGTTCTTGGTCATTGTCTCATTGAGCTTTTATATTATTCTGAAGAAATTGTAATCCTTTATGGAGTCAAGTTCCTTTTAAGAGAAAAACATTCATGGTTTTGATTGAGAGCGATATAAAGCTAAACTAAATGAAGACCACTCGGAAAAGTGAATAGTTACCAGGGAAACCTGTTACAGCTCTCGGGGCAGATGGTGGTTCCTCAACCATGGCTTCCGCTTCCTCGTCTATATTGTCATAGAGAGGAGCATCTTCAGAATCTAACATGTTGCAGTTCAAGACTTGCTCCTCGCAATGAAATACCACATCCACAGCTGAAAAGTAAAAACAGTGCAGAACATCTAGGTTAAAATCAAGGAAGAAGTAAAAAATGAAATGAAACTAAGTCCACACAATGCAGAGTACAGGAGAGAAAAACTGATTGGGTGCCCTTTTATGAAAAATGTTTTTAAGGATACGTAAACCCAAACCAAACAAAACATACCCAACATATCCCATCTGTAACTAGGATGTGGGGATCAAATGTAGGCAGACCTTACCTCCATGGGCTCCACCCCAAAAAGAATCACTTTGTAACCTCCAACTAAGTAATTTTGTAAGAATTACAACTGATTCTTTTTGGAAATAAGAGCCAAGTGCAGAATTGTTTGTTAGCGTCTACCAACCCTTATCAAGAGGGAGCTTAGCCCAATTGCTTTATACTAGTAGTATATAACAGTATAACCTTAAAAATTTGCATGCAATATATTTATTTGTAAATCTTCCTTCCTCATTCTCTTTTCACAAGGACTCAGCGCCAAGGTTTTGTTTGATATCTCAGTTGTCGCAGCACAAGAGAAAAATGCTGGTTGGTCAAGTTGTAAAGATAGACAACTTCTCTCATGGCTTTAGGAAGTGTGGCAACACCCCACCCACCTACCTCCAAACCTGCCACATCAGAGGAGCCTCACAAGTTCTACAACGGCCACACTTGTGGAACATCACCTAGCACATAATTGGTGTCGAATTGAAGAAGCATATAGGGAACAAGATCATAAGTAAGAGGATTCATGTGAGTAGAGAGCATCATGCTCAATCCTCCAAGAAGAGCGAGGAATTTAGGTAGAGGATTAAAGCAAAAGATCAGCTCAGGATTTGGGCAAATACTAAAGGTGTAGTGATTGGCACCAAATGGCAACCCAGACTCCAAATGACCAAAACATGGATTCATAATTGGATATGCTATTATAGATATTATTGGTGCGAGGTGCCTCGAGATTAGAAGTGGCAGAAATAGAATATTAATCAATCTCATATTAATAGTGAACTATCCAAACACATAGATAGCACAACGCACGACAAAAATAAAGCATAAAGTACTAAATTCCAAAACCAATTAAACATATTTTGCAAGGCTGCCAAGTTTTAAAAAAGATAGTAACACAACATGCTTTTATTTCAAAGCAAAATTAGCAACATAAGAATTTCAAAGAAAAAAACAAATATGACAATTACGGAGTATTTCAAAGCAAAAATTAACCAAAAGAGAACAACAAAGGTTGAGAGAGGAGTACTTTCAAGCAACCACTGTGTTCGTGTACAAAGCATATACATTTTCAAATTTGAAGCTCTTTTTGAAAATTCACATCAATTTACATAGAACAATCAAGGAGAGAGGCAGAAACTTAAACAATTCCATACACACATTCAATTCTAATAGAGAGAGCTTTGCCAGAGGCTCTCGCAAAAGCTCATTATCCTTTTTTTACAGCTAGTTACCTCAGACTGGGAGGCAGCAGAGCATCTTAATAGATGTTCGCTCCAAAGCTTAAAAAACTACTGTGATTTCGCTATAAACGTCACATCTAATTCTTGCATACTTTGTTGTCAAGTAACCACACAGTTCATGAACAGAGCACGAGATTTAAAATCTCGAGGCACAATTTGAAAATTCACATCATTTGACCGGAATATGATCATGATCAATCAAGGGGAGGGGCAGGAACTCGAACAATTCGATACGCACGTTCGATACAAAACCAAAGAGCTTACTGTTCTCCGTCATCATTTCTTCCCTGCGACGTTTACGCTTGCGGGCCCAATCTACGATGCTGCCGCCGCCGCCGCTATCGTCGCCTGATTTAGAGTCCGGCAAGACTTCAAGCCTCAGGATCCGGTCTGAGAAATTGCTGTCATTGAAGGCGAACGCGAAGTCGAACTCGGTGCCCAATCGGAGTGGATCGCCAGAAGAGAAATCCGTGTTCATCACTGCACGTGGATAAAAATGTCCAGTTTTTCTTTTTTCATACGCAGCAACGCGGAGGCCGGAGAGTTTGGAGTGTGGATGTGTGGGAGTGTGGATGCTCTTTTGGAATCTAACACTTCTAACACTTTCAAAATCCATTCCATTTTTATTTTTTTAAATTTCTTCTACATTTTCATATTTTTTCCACTTTGTTCTAAGGCACCTAAAATTAGAGGTGGACACAATACGGTTCCGAGACAGTTCCGGTTCTGAAACCGCCGGTTCCGGTACCGCCACCCCTAAGCACCGTTACCGTCACCAGACCAGAAGGTACCAGTTCCGGTACCAATACCGACGGTTCCGGTACCGCACCGGCTGGTTTCGGCAACCCTCCTATTTTTATTTTTTTATTTTTAGAAGTATAAATGTGTAATTGTTAAAGAAAATAATGAAATAAAAGATCTAAAAATGTAGTTGTTATTTAAATATTGAAAAATGAGTAATACACGAACAATTATATTTAATATCCTGACGGTTAAAAAAAGCGACGAGATAAAGAACCATAAAGAAACCCTCGAAGGAGCTTATATATCGCTCACCTAAAAAACTAATTACATTAACATAAAAAAAGTTTATAACTTATTCCTTGGAACTAGGGCTTCGGTTGCAAACAAGTATCTCAAGCGATTCAGCGCTAAGACAACTTCGATAGTCGGTTAGAATATTGCCGCTAGAACTGAATTCTTGTTCCAGAGCTACGGTTGATACCGGGACTGATAAAACTTGTCTGGCTAGCATTCCGAGACATGGGAACATGTGTTCGTTCCGCTTCCACCATGCGAGGAATTCAAAGTCCACGTCGTCATCGTCGTAATTGCATGGCACCCCTTGGTACATATCAAGTTCGTTGTGCGACCTTATAGTTGTACCACCTGAACTTGTCGAAGGCTGACCACGCTTACCTTTTTTGCCAAAAGCCCACTGGCTATTCCTTTAAAACCATTTTTTGCGTTGGGAGGCGGCGGAGGTGCTGTTTCTTCCTGTGCATTACCGTATATTCCTTGAAATTCTTGAAATAAAGCCTAAAAAAGAATAATAGCTGTTGGAACACGGGTTTACACCTACATCGTACTAAACCATGTTCGTTTTATGACAGGTTTTGATAATGCCAAACCGCCACGAAAACAAGAGCAAATTGAACAAATAAAACGCGAGGAAACATATTGTGAAGATGAATTGAAAACCAGAACCAAGAACCAAGAACGAAGACTTAGAAATTAATTGAGTCGGTCTTAATGTGATCAAGACCGGTACAAACTTCTAAACTTGGCTCTCTAGGATTATTTCATGAAAATATCTTTTGCATATTCAAAATGTTTTTCGTAAGTTTTAAACAAGCCTAAAACACTTGATGTTCGCCCCAACAAAAAACCAAGCCATCTGGCGTTCGGCTTTCAGAAACCGGCGTTCAGCATTCGGTTATCGGCGTTAGTTTTTGGCGTTCGAACCAACCAAGTGGTTTTCAACTTTTCATGATTGGTTTTCACTTCTGGGCATATTTAAATAGTTCTCCAACAAAAACTCTTCAAAAACCACCTTTCGTTTTTGGTCGTTTGGTAAAAACCATGCGAAATGGCATAAGCTTGGCTAGCCGTGGTTTTTACCTAAGTGACGTGGTTTTTAAGATGTTTCACTTGATTTCTTAGCAAAATGCATTAAACAAATTTTTTGAATACTTGGTTTTTATTTTGGAGAACTTAGATCTTTGATATCAGCTAACGGCATAACTAACCAGCCATGGGTCTGGCTAAACCAGCCCAACATCGATGTTGGAGTAACCAACAGCGCTGTCTGGCGTTGGCAGCTGAAAACCATGCTTTGGTGTTGAGTCTTCCAACAGCGATGTTGGTTAATGGACATCGCTGTTGAGCCAAGGTTGGAATTCCAGAAACATTTGGAACAACGATGTAGACTTCTCTACATCGATGTTCAACCTAAGCCAAAAGAAAATGCCTTTGGTAGAAAGTTTTTGGACAGCGCTGTTGACCTAGCAACAGCAATGTCAGGCCATTTCTCATCCTTCAAAGTCAGGTCTGAACAGCGATGTTCAAGTAATGAACATCGATGTAGGCACCTGACCGTTGGAAGGAATTTATGGCTAAAACTTTCCATGTTTGGAAGTCAAGAGCCAAAACAGCGATGTTGGCTATTTAGACATTGTTGTTGGCTTGACCATTGCTTCCTGATTTTCAAAAACTAAGCCTACAACAACGATGTCCAAGTTATGGACAGCACTGTGAGGCTGATTTCCAGCAGATCCAATTTTAATCAAATCCCACAAATTATGCCAATCACCCCCATTCAACTCCTAACCGTTGGAGCCTATTTTTCTATTATATAATGGGGTGTTTGGGTCTGCTTTACACATCACATAACTTAACAACTCATATTATTCATTGCATTACATTCATACATTATTCATAGCTTTTTGAGAGTCATTTCTGTGAAGTTCATGTTGTATTCTTGAGCGTTTTTAGTTACTCAATATCCACTCTAAAAGGGAGTATTATTCTTGAGTGATTTAGTGTATTTGACACTTGATAAGAGAAAGGTTTTCTCTTGAGTAGTTTGAAGGAAGGGTTGTTTCCTTCGAAGATTTGTTGAGGTTCGTGTGACTCAAACTCTCAAGTTGTATGAGTTTGTTAACACCGTTAAGCTTAACGTTGATAGTGTAGCTCGAGAGAGTCTCTCGGGAGGCTGGACTAGCCACACGTTGTGGTGAACCAGGGTAAAAACGGTGTGCCTTATCCTTGCTCTTTTACTTTACGCTTTTAAATTTTTATTCCTGCGTTATTTTTGTTTCAAACGCTATTCACCCCCCTCTAGCGTTGAGACGTTTTTCTACCAATAGCATTATTGTTTTCTTTTGTCCATTCTATTAAATGGTTGTAAGAAAAATTATTTTCATCTAAAAAACAAGTGTAATAATACTTCATCAGAATTTGAAAATTATCAATCTTAAAGCGAGGATCACAAATAATACCAATTTTATAAATATCAGGAATGTACAAATAATAAGCACATCATTTATCCCTCATAGGAGAGACATAGGGGTACAACTCTGGATCAGATAAACTTTCACGAATATATGTTGCAATTGTAACACACTCTTTAAAAAATCAATTTGTAGTGGGTTGCTAAAATGCAAGAAAGTAAGAGTTGTGTTATTAAAAACTTCTAATACGGCATTCAATTTTTCAACAATAACAAATTCATTCAATGAAATCATAAAACGAAGTTCATTCCTAAAAAATGTAGCAAGTTCCTCTTTGTAGCTTAGAATCTGTGCTATCAACTTGTATGTACTATTCCATCTAATGGCGATATCTTTAGCAAATGTTATTGGTTTTCTATCCCTAGATTTACAGTTTAACTTTCAGGCTTTCGTATGAACACGACTACCCCAAATCTTTTTAATTCCATTTCTAATATTCGTCAACCCCCCCCCCCTCCATAGCTTCTAATCCATGTTGAACACATAAATTTAAAACATGACAGGCACACTTTTGATGCAGAAATCTATTCATACTCGTAGTAGGGGGGCAAATTTCTCTAAGTCTAGGAATAACAGCAGTATTATTAGTAGCATTATCAAAACCAAATACAAACACTTTATTAACTAAATTTTATTCTTGCAGAATACGCTCAAGCAATAGAAAAATATTTTCACCAGTATGAGATTCATTGAAATCACGAAATGCAAGAACATGTTTATGCATAATCCAATCAATATCTATCCAATGACAAGTAACACTCATATAAGACAAATTATTATATGTTTCACTCCAAATATCAGAACAAATAGTAACACGAAAATTAAAATTGAGAAAAAAATTTGCCAAATTCATTTTTTCAACTTCATATTGTCTAATAATTTCTCTCTTAATTGGTTTTCTTGAAAAACCTCTTGTTTGAGAGTTTAATGCATTTTGACAATAATCAATAAATCCAAGTTTTTCAAAAAACATGTATGGCAAATTTTCTTCACAAATCATTTCTGCCATTTTTTGCTTATTTTGCTCGTCGCTATAAGCAAAAAGGCCGCCCTTACCCCTATTAGCAAACCGAGAAATTTGGGTTTGCATTTCTTGTCGTCCCTTCTTTTTCGCCGCATATTTGGCGTACTCCACGGGATGACTCGCGCTTAGGTGTTTTTCCGGATCACCATAACCGTCGGAAATTCCCATTTTTATGAAGGTGCCACAATATTTACAAGTTCCAAAAACTTTGCCATTTTTTATTTCTTTTGAAAAATGATAAACAAATAAATCAGATTTTAATTTTTTTTTACCTTTCACCGGACTTTCAGAGGTCTCGCGCTCACCTGCCTTTTCTTCGGCGTCGGTAGGATTGTTGCTCTCCAGTGTAGGCTCCACGTCCATTTCTGCTTCATCAATGTCCTCGAATATATCTTCAAGAGTTTGAAGATTGGCGTCCGTCCTACCTCCCAAATAGTGTTCAAATTCTTGATCCGTCATAGCGTCAGCCACGAATTGGTCAAGGATAGTAGGGAAGGATGAGACAAAGTGTCTTCCTTGAGAACCACGTGAGCTCGAACCGTCGGAGGTAGCTTTAGCTTTTCCTTTCCTCGAACTTTGGTTCACAACGCCCATATCCATGAACCTTCGACCGGACTCTTTCGACATTTTAATATATTTTTATTTTGATAAAAAAGGAATATATTAAATATTTAAAATATTATATATTGAATTTCAAAATTATAATATTAATTTATAACAATATAATATATTAGTAATCATTTAAATAATATTTAATTGTTTTTGGTTCTACAATATGGAATGTTAAAATTATATGAAATTCTATGATGCATATCATTTACACTTCAAATATAAATAATTTAGGTTTATTAAATTGTTACAAATCTATTATTCTTCTCTCTCACATCATTTCAAAAATAATATAGTTACAAAATCTTAGTGGTCATATGACTCTTCTCACCTGCATTAATTCAAAAAAACTTGGATTACAATTCTATGACTCTAGGATTCGTAGAAACATTATTCTTTTCTCTCACATTAATTTACATTAGGAATAGAATATGATTCTCTCCCTTCCCCCATGCATTGACTAAAAAAGATTCTTCACTCCCACATTATTAAAATATAAAAACATGAATTAGGGATCTTATAAAAAATACTATTAGTTTAAAAAAATTAATAATACAATGATTCTTCTCACCCATATTAATTCAAAAGAATATTAATACAAGAAAATGTTAGCGGTCCTATGATTCTGAGTAGAAACTTAGAAAATATTTCATAGTTTTTTATTCAACTTTTTTTTCATTTATTTATAATTACAAAATCATTCAAGCTCATGTTTGTATTTTGGTCAATACATAAATTTTACGGAGTATAAAAATTGGAAATCAATGCACTAAATTTTACTCCATCTGTTCGGAAATGTTTTTCCCATTTGACTTTTCACGGTCTTCAATATTGCGCTTTGACCATTAATATCTATATTTATACATAGATATATTTTTTAAAAATTTGATATTTGAAAACTACGTTTCATTATAAATATATTGATATTAAATTTACATCATAATACAATGTGTTTTTTTCACAAGTCGTAGTCAAAGTCTACAAATTTTGACAAAAAAAATCAAATGTGAAGAACATTTTCGGACAGAGGGAGTACTTGGTTTTGCATCTTAGTTCTTTCCTACACTTCTCCTTGATTTACTTATTTTCACTTCACCTAGATTCTTTTATTACAGATCTTCGTGGGGTCCTCTCCACACCTTAATTTTTTTTCCTTATTGAACAAATTTATTTGGATTAAAATAGTAAGTCAAATTATCAAGATAAAGTGAAAATGTCATATTAAATTGTTTTTAAATTATATAATTTTAGTGTAGGAATTAAATATATATTTTATTATAAATTTTACATTAATATGTAAATAAATAGAATAAGAACTATCTGTATATAGGTATATCATACACAAATATGAAATTTTTTATAGGTAAAGTGAGTATCTTGTCTATTCATTGAAAGTATAGTTTTTTTTTTTGAAGTCAAAATTCATTCTATTAATTTAAAGAGTTCGGGATACAATCAAATGGAGCAAAGTCCCAAGACGAAGAGGACCGTTGACCAAAAGCCTCAGAGGTTAAAATATGAGAGAAATTAAAATGACGAAAAATAAAATCACAAGAACAAAAACTGAAGGATTGCATAAGTGATTTGCACCGAAGAATAGTCAACGCCTCAAAAGATGAACCCACGAACCGATGATTACTGATGGAGCGTATTAAAGTCATGCAATCCGAAAAAACCCGGACTCTTGGAATGGATTTGTCTTTGATCCAAGTTAAAGCTTCCTTGAGAGCCAAAGCCTCGGCCATAAGCGGGTTCAAACAGAAATTGAGTTTACCAATAATCCCCAGAAAGAATAGATTAATAATTTTAAAAACTTTCCATATTTTATGAAAATAGTTTTAATATCATGATTAATGTCTTTTGTTATGAACAATTCATATGATTTTTATTTCATTTTCTTAATTTTCATTAAATTCAAAAGTGCATATTTTTTTGTAATATCAGATATACATGTTTAAACCTATCAAATACGGAGTATTTTAATAGCACGTTCTAAAAATTACCATTAAGCATTGGCCAAAAATGGTCAATGAATATTTACAATATGTCATGTGTTTTTTCTTATGTCATGTCATTTAAAAGGGTCATGTAAAAGAGACACATGTCAGACTCTTAAAAGCATGAGTCTCAAATATTAAAATAAAAAACACCAATATTTAATTTAAACTTATCATTAAAAAATAATATTTATTTAGATATGAAGAGAATATCTTATTAATTACTTGAAGGTTTCATTAATGTCATTATAAATGAAGAGAAGAATTTAGAATTTAGAAAAAATATTATTACAAAGTCGATGATCTCTCTTCTATAATTTTTCTACAATTAAATTCACACAGTGATTTAATACCAAAGTATTATAAATACATTGCTTTTTATGTATAAATTAGGTGTCAAAAAATGCAGCATAAGCAATGTCATAGCATTAGTTTTTTACCATGTGCTATGTACGGAAAACATTGTAGGTGTTGGGTGTACAATCATTATGGCGCGTAAGTGCATACATGTGAATATAGAGTCTATGGGTGTGGTTATCGAATAGAAGAAAATGTTCATATTATAGGCATTCAATAATGTTGGCCTTGAATAACGAAACTCACCACGTTTTGATGTGCCAAATAAGTCTTCCAAGTACTAACCTCTTGTAGGATTAAACGAGACACTCGAACTTCTACTAACTTGGTTGATTTCACCAAGAATTGATTCACTCAAGTTTAGATTTGAAAAATGTAAGAGCCTGATAAAATGATGTTACACTTATGCTCTTGCACTTAAAAACATTTTCCAAAAGGTTCTAAATATTGCCTTGATTGGGTCATTTTTTAAAATCGGGAATAAAATCATTGTTGGGTTAGAACCAGACCGAATGGTACCCCATACCGTGTTAACGGTACCTATCTACTGTTAGGCTACACGGTACATCAGGTAGGTACCGCCCGGCTAAATTGTGGCTAAGTGACAAAGGACTCAACCGGTACCCCCTACCGTAACCCTAGGTAGGTAACATCCATTAGAACCCTGGCTCAGCCCGGAATGAACTATGGCGGTACCCCCTACCGTAACCCTAGGTAGGTACCGACCGTTAGAACCCTGGCTCAGCCCGGAATGAACTATGGCGGTACCCCCTACCGTAAACCTTGGTAGGTACTGCGTGTTTCAAATCTAGCTCAGCCCAAAATGAACTATGGCAGTACCCCCTACTATTGTAACGGTACCCAAGTACCGCCTGAGGCTTAGGAAACTCATGTTTGAACTTCCAAACGGGACCTGTCACGGTACCCTATACCATCAGTAACAGTACCCCCTACCGTTACGGTACCTGACTACCGTTACAGGTACCGGAGCCGTTGGGTTACTGTTCCTGATTGATTTAACTAATCCCAATCAATCTAATTTGTCTCCCAACGTCTCTTTAACAGTTCAAACCCATTTTAAACCTCCTAAACACTATTAATACACCTCCTAAGCCTCTCCTAAACACACAACAACACCCCTCAACATACATTACATTCTATAATCTCATTCTTGATCATTTGTGTGTTCTAAGCTTTAAAGTTCCTGATTTTTTCTCTCTCTTTTGAATTTAAAGCTTTGATATTTATATTTTTTAACACACACACACACCAAGGGCTTTTGTGTTTCATCTTCTTATCTTGCTTATAGGCAATTATTGTTGTTTTTATATCTTGTTCTTCTCCTACCCAATCACATTATATATTACTTTGGTAGAGAAGCAAGAAACTCTTTTCATTACTTTGTAAAAGGTGTGGATAGCCTTTAAATCCACTTGTAAGGTTGAAGATAGCCTCTAAATCTTCGGTTGTAAACGGTCGAGATAGACGGTATAAAATCTCATTGCTTATTGGCAAGGGTTGTTTGCCAAACCTCATTTGGATCTTCTTAATGAAGTCAAACAAGTTATTGGAGGTTAAATCTTTGAGGAGAAGCCTCGAGGTACTGGAGTAGGGAATTCCCGAACCACTATAAAATCGATTGTGTCGTACTTTTCTCTTTTATATTTTTGTTGCTCCTTTTCCGCTACTACTTTGCGCTTAAGTTTTTGTTTTTATGAAAAACTTTCAAACACCCTAATTCACCCCCCTCTTAGGGTGTAAACCGACTTTTCAAATAACCCATATTCAAGATTTGTATTTGTGTGGTATCCTGTAGCTTCCTTTTGGGATTTTAGTTTTGTACGTCAATTTTTTTGAACATTATAAGCTACTCCCTCCGTCATAGTGTATTTGTCCAGTTTGACTTTTCGGAGTCAAACTGAACAAACTTTGACCTTTAATTAAATAAAAATCGTAATGTATTTTAACATAAAAATAACTTTATTGGATTTATTGTATTGAGAATTTTCAAAATTGTATTTCATTATGCTAATATGCAATATAAATTGAGAGTAATTGAAGTTCAAAGTTTGTCCCGTTTGACTCGAAAAAGTCAAACTGGACAAATTCACTGGAACGGAGGTATTATATTACAATATAATATCAATTCATACATGATACGGAGTATTTCTTTTTATTTTGTAAAATTTGGTTTTCACCTTATGGAAATGATGTAGACCATCCACAAATTACAAATTAGCTATATTTCCGCAAAGATAAAATTTAAGTTGATTAGCCTACGTTAATAACAAAATTATAAACACAAAGTACGACAACTTAAGATGTGAAGCAACATGATCAATGCAAAAGATATACTTCAAAAAATACAAAAGAAAAGCATTTGTCACAAATTAGTTATACTCATGTGGTAAGGAGTGGCCAAAAAATTACATCTTACTTTCAATCTCAACACTAAAGACCCAAAGTGAAAGGCAATCAACGAAAAATCGAATACAATTGAAAATTTGGCCTATAAAGCCACACGATACACCTGCACCACCGTGTAAGAAATAATCAATGCATTGATCTTTAGCTATGTACCTAGAGAATTGTGATGGTAAGCAAAATAGAAGTCCTCTTTTGGATAATACAATTGTCATATGTGTTGGGAATTAAACACACAACACACACAAATAATCTGCAAGAATCAAGAGAGAACGGAACACGGACGACACACAAGAATTTAACGTGGTTCGGTTTCTCTAATCCACGGCTGCAACAGGAGGATTTCTATTTCACTTGTCGTGTCTCACGGAATTACATATACGAGGGCTAATATATAGGAGAAAAACCTAGGATTACAAAACATGGGCCGGGCCTACAAGTCAAGCCCAAGCCTCCACAAACCCAACATTCTCCCACTTGGAGGCTTGATACTCATCAACTGCCATCCACCACGATTGCATGTACATCGAGTAATCTTCCTCAACTCTCATGTTGGAGCAACCGTATCATCAGACAACTGAAAGGCCCGTTGAAGCTCTCCCAAGCTCCAACACATCAGTCACGGCTAAATCTGCCAATGACTCGTCCTCGGTCCCTACTGGCTCCCACTGCAGACGCACACTGCCGGATCCTGGAACATCCTAAGAACAAACACTCTCCATACTTAGCAAGAAATTTTCTAGAGATGTTCCAACAGCTGGAATACTGGTTCTCGTGACCCACTGTCTTCTAGGAAACTTGGCTGAAGCGCCTCTTGAGCTCCCACTGCCACAAATACCTCTGACTGGCCCCCTTAAACCTTTCCTCGCTCGTTCATCCCGAGTCTGACCTGTGGCTCTAGGTTTCTCTCTTGCATAGACAACCTTATTCTGCCCACGAGACTCTGTGAACTGGACTTTGTTTCTCTTTTGAACTGAGACGGTCACTCCCTCAGATGGTAACTTGACCATATACAGCGAACCTCTCTTCTTTTCACGGGCCATGACAAGATTTCCCTTCATGACCTTCCATTGCTCATCTCTGAACTTCACCTCATGTCCCTGTTCGTCCAACTGCCTGACAGAAATCAAACTTTTCTTCAAGGCTGGAACAACTCTGACATCCTTCAAAGTCTAGAAACCGACTGGGGTCTTCAGCACTATGTCACCCATGCCCGTCACATCAAGAGCTCTATCGTCTCCAAGTCGTACCTTTTTTAAGTCTCCAACAACTAGATTCTGCAATGCTTCACCATTGTGGGTAGCATGAAATGAAGCACCAGAATCCATGACCCAAGAATCTACATTGCTTTCCTCACAGCAAATCAGAGTGACCTCCTCGTCACTCGTAGAGCCTTTAGCAATGTTCACTTTATTATCATTTGGGCATTGATTCCTAAAATGCCCCACCTCCTTGCACTTCCAGCACGTTACACCTGAGCTCGAGTCTTTGACTGACTCCTTCGTCTGTTCCTGCTCCCACTACCTCTGCTATTTCTTCTGCCTCTACCAACATGAAGCAATTCACCAGATGACTCCCCTAAACTCTTTCTTCTGACATCCTCGCCAAGAACGAGATCTCGAATTTGATCAAAGCTGAATCCATCGGGTCCCACGGAACCGGTAACCGCTATAACCGTTCCGGACCAACTATCTGGTAAAGACAATAGTAGTAGTAAAGCTTGAACTTCATCATCGAACTTAATGCCCACTGACAAAAGTCTGGCTAAGATTGAATTCAACTTGTTGATATGCTCGGTAACTGAAGTGCCTTCTTTCATCCTTGTGTTCACCAGCTCTCTGATCAGAAAAACTTTGTTAGCTGCAGATGGCTTCTCGTACATGTTAGACAGCGCTTCCATAATTCCCTTCGCTGTCTTCTCCTTCAGAATATTGAACGCAACATTCTTGGTCAACGAGAGACGGATCACGGACATAGCTTTCCGATCCAAACCTGCCCAATCTGCATCCGATATCTTTTCTGGCTTGTCACCTAACACCACGTCCAAATCTTTCTGAACCAGCAAATCTTCAATTTGCATCTTCCACCAACTGAAATCTATACCATCGAACTTCTCAATTCGAAACTTCCCGTCTTCTATCATATCACACGACTAGACGAGATACCCGGTACAACTAATTTCAGATTTTGGTAATTTCGTCAGAAAATCAGACCCACCACACCAATTAAATTAGCCAAAACAAATTAGCCCAATATCCACCCACCAATTACCGCCCACGAATAACACCAAATTCAAGCCAAACGGCCAAAAAAAAGAATAGTGGACTGACCAACTGAAATAATCGGCTCACTGCTCCTTCCCCACTTCTTTTTTAATCCTTCCGCACCTGTCACAAAAAAGGACAAATAAACCCAAAAAATGGGCTGAGAGACAAGGCCCAACCCCCCCTTTTTTTATAGATTTCTTCTTCGATTCAATTAGGGCGGCGGCGGCGGCGATGGCTTTGGAATTGGGCGGCTGGACTGCCTTCTGCACAGCCTATCCAACGGTGATGCGTTCTGGACGGCGGCTGCGCTCCCCACTCGACGCAGCTTACTGCACGCAGATGGGGATCTAACAGCTGGACGAAGTTCTGCACTGGACGGCGGCAGCGACTCGTAGTGATCGCTCCTATCTGCGCGACGGCGGCTGATCTCTGGATCGCAGCTCCTACCGCGGCTGAGTTCCCTGCCCGCCGCTGCGGTCCAAGACCCGGCAGCGAACTCGACGGCGGTGGCGACTCGTCAACCCGGCGGCGGCGGCTCCTTCTGCTCGACGCGAAAGGGTAGATAAAATCTGAAATAGATATTACTCTAGCTAATTTTAAAGTGTTAGTTTGACGCAAATTACATCGTACATCCGGTTGTACCTATTTTTAGGTACAACTGGCTAATTGAAGAAGGGAATGAGATGGAACTGAAGCCGCCGGAATTAGTGCCGCTCCTCTATTGGCCGGGTCGGGCCACCGGAGAAGAAAGGCGAAAGGTGTCGGAGGTGATGACGAAGAGCAGCGAAGACGGAAGACGATGGAGGAGTGAAGATGAAGGAGAGCAATGGTGGTGAAAATCAAGAGAAAACCATGGAGAAGGAAGATCTAAGGAGAAGGTGGCGGTGGCGTTACTTACAGCGGGTTGGGTCGAAAGAAAACCGCTGGAGGAGGGGCTGGGATGAAATCCTATTTGCATAAAAATAAAAAAAAGGTTATTTATGGTATGTGTTTTATTTTATTTTAGAATGAGCATTAAGTTATTTGAGAATGAGTATTATTTTTATTCAGAATGAACATTACATTATTTGTGGATAAATATTATAACTATATTCAATAAATGTGTGAAAATGAGTACTACATTATTTTAGAATGAGTACTGCGTTATTTTAGAATGAGTACCACGTTTTCAAAATGAATAATTATGTTTGTGCGAGAATGAGTACTACTTTGTTTCAGAATGAGTACAACCCGGATGTACCTATCTCTATGTACATCCGGTTGTACCATATACCTTTTCTTAGTTTGACTAAAATCTGAAATAGATATTACTCTAGATGTATAAAGAACTTGTATGCAGTGTTAGTTTGACTAAAACCTATTTTGCATTTGGTTGCCTTTGCATGACTGTAATCCATGATTTGATTACAATTAATGTTATTATTTTAGCTCATGAAGTTAAGAAAAAGAATAAAAAATTTAATATGGAAGTGTAAAGAATACTATTTTTGTATGGAGTATCACTTATGTATTCTTGAAGTTTCTATAGTGGTCTTTCATAATAAATTGAACATGTATTTGAAGATAAAAACTTATTTTTAGAATTATAAAAAGTAATTTGTAATTAAAGGTTAAAAAATAATCATTAGCAAAATAAGACTAATACATAGAGATGAATCGAAAAAGATCAAATGTAATCATTTAAAAAATAGAGAGGAAACCTGGATGGGTAGATGGACACAAATTCCTTTTTCGTTTTCTATTTTGGCAAACAACATGCAAACATGGAAAGTTTTTACATTTTTTAAACTTTTCTTAATCTCCGTGCCAAGTCAAAACAGAAAAGAAACTGTGAGACAGAGGGAGTATGATTTAAACAAATTTCACTTAATGTTATACAAAATTGATATGTCAACAATATATTTTCAAACTAACCCTAATTTATTATATTTAAATTAAAACTAAATATAATTTGAAAACAATTAGTAGTCAAAGTGTTGCAATAGTTTTGAAACCTTAATTTGAGCTCGATATAAATCATCTTCCAATATGTATATATGTAATATAATTAATTTTTTGTAGCTTATTTTTAAATTACATAGTTTTTGTTGTATAAAATATACTTCATACGCAGTATTTATGTACATACACCTAACCGGTGCCATCTGGTATAAAAGGGAAAAATCAGTTTACTCCTGCAACTACCAACCATAATTCATTAGGAATTCAAGAATTAAAATACTATAGCTCAAACAAAAAGAACATGTATGTAGTCAGGTCATCTCATATTAAATTAATAGCCCAAATAAAGAACCCGTATGCAGTGTTAGTTTGACTAAAATGTGAAATAGATATGACTCTAGATATATATGATGAATAAAGTTCTAGAAAGAAAACTGAGATGAAGAGGTAGTGTCGCGGTGATTCAGGGATGAGATCATATTCATCTTTGTTTTATTTTGGAAGCTAACTTTCATATATGTAGAAAATTATTTGGGAGGAAATTTCCTGTATATTGAATTGGCTTGTATATTTTCTAACCCTCTTTATATAGGAAGAAAGTAAAGCATATAAGTAAACTTTTATTCCTACCATATTTCTATTCCTACTATAACAAGAATTAAGCAAACTAGGAAAGATACTAAACCGAATCCCAAAGGAATTCAGTTTCCTTCTTTGATCCGGCTTCCTTCTTCTGTCGCCAACAATATACAAATTTACAAACTATTGGTCTCTCGTCTAACATTCCATATTAATAGAGCATTAGGAGAAGACTAGAAGAGATTATAGGTGCTACTAACAATTCATCATATTTGTGGTCATATTGTAAAGTTTTTGCTTTGTGCAAAAACATGACACTTTATTCATCCACGTTCTCTGACTTACACCTAGATACATGAAATTTTTCTGACGATATAATCAAAATTCAAAATGGAAATCTTGCTGTGCTTAATGATGGAGTTGGTGATGTCAAAATCCCTCCCGAATTCTTGATTCTTAACTCAAATTTAGGTTAGTGGTATTATGCCAAAGAAAAAGAAAGGGTTTCATCGCTACCTATCTTGAAAAAATAACAGTTTTAGGACTCCTCATTGTATAAGTAGATTTTTAAAGATCTCCAATCTAACTTTTTAATTATTAGTATCGATATATATACTTATGAAAAAATCATATTTCAAAATAAAGTTTTAAGATAATATCAAATATTAATATTACATTTATAGAGAAACAAAAATTATTTTTTTCATATATAGAAATCAATATTTACAAAATTTGACCAATAAAATCAAATTAGAAGATTATAATCCGGAGGGAAGGAGTATTTTGGAAGAATTTTGACTCTTAATGAAATTGAGTAAAAGCTAAAATTCATATTTGTGACTAACAAAAAATTTTCAAAATTAACATTCATAGAATATAATTATACTGTGGATGTGATATAATTATTCTCTCTTATAAAATATAAGTTCCTTGTGGTAAGAATATATATTTTCAATTGACCTTTATTCTAAATGAAACTAATCACGGTTTTTCGTATTCTAAATGGAAAAAAAGTATGTTAAAAAAATACATTTTCAAAAATAAAGTTGCTAAAAAATGTGTCTGCACTTAAAGGCATGTGTATCGATGAATAAATAAGGTATATATTAAAGAAACATTATTTTTTCTATTTGTTAAATTTTTTCTACTTTTAATGTATTACCTTTTAACATGGATACGTTAAACATTTATGTCCCTTTTATAGTTTTTTCCATAAATTATTAACTTAAACTAATAATATAATTTATTTTAAAATAGACAAATCAATGTAAATTTTATTTAAAAAACTTAGAAACCAAAATAATATTACCTTTAATTTAATTAGAATTTTGAAACAAAAAAAATAAAGAAATAAAAAAGAAGAGCAAAAAATTTTAACCATATAATTTTGGTTAGAGAGTCAAAACTAGAGATCTATTAACACTCACTCTGGAAAATGTTAAAAAAATTGAGAATATCCAAACATGTTGGAGAATATAATTTTTTTGAAAGCTAAATCTTATAATTTTAATAAAACATTAAATATAGTAATATGTGATATTACTTGACCTCTTTTTTAAATGATATATCTTATAAATTTAATAAAATGTTAAATATAGTAATTTGTGATATTACTTGCCCTCATTTTGGATTCATTACTTAAATTACTCCATTTTAGAGTTATGCATGTTAATGGAAATAATTGATACCCCTGAAATCACATTACAAAATGATCGGACATAACTCAACGAATATGTCATTCATGACCCACTCAAGTTTGAGTACATATATGTTCAAAGACGAGCAATATTATGATTAAAAAAGAAGGAATCAGTATTAAACTTCGCCTTTTGGTTTTTTTACATATTATTGGCATGAGCATTCCACTTTGTCGTAACAATTGTAACCATGAAAAATCAACCTGACAAGAGGACGAGATCAACTAGAGATGCAAAAGAAATAAGAAAAGGAATACTTCAACAAAAAAGGACATAAAAAGGTTTGTGTTGAAGATCCGTCGTGCAGTCCAAAACAAATTAAAAATTTATAAATAACCTTAACTAACCCCCAAAAAATAATCAAATAAAAACTATAGCAAGGGCAAGTAAGGGTCGATCCCACGGAGAAAGATTGTGCTTTTTGAAACCAATTAAGCATGCAAACACGTTGTTACTAAATAAAACAAACTAACTACTACACATATTAGAACACTTATAGAAGTTATAATTAAATAAATATAAAAACATATAAATATAACTTATATAAACAAAGAACTTATAATATAACTTATAAACATAAAACACATACTTAAGATATACTAAAAGAATAAAGTATAAAAACTTATATTTATAACTTATAAACAAACACTTATAATATAACTTAGTAAAAAAACTTAAATTATAAACTAAAACAATATAACAAGGAGGGGTGTTGTTAGATGAAAAGTAGATATTTTTTTGGTTTTTAATTTTTCTTTTTTTTTTTTGGTTTTTTTGATAAAATAGGAGAAAACAAGTTCTAAAGATAATCAACTTCTCCAACTTAGGTAACCCAAAAAACACTGCCAAGAACCCGAAACAAAATGAAAAAAAGAACAAACACAAATAGAACATTACACGTATAATAGGCACGTAGACAATATATTACGTAACTTACACACTTAAAAATAGAAAATAATTCAAAGGCTCAAGTTAAATCATATCCTTGACCACATATAGAGGATCGTCAACTCTCTATGAGGCCCGGAGTCATGTAATTCAAAGGCCTTTTGGATCACTTTGAACCCTGACTCACCTCAAGTGCTCAAACAATGATTCCAAAAGATGAAAAAGTTTATAAAAGAGCGAATTTTTCTTTCATTTTAACTCCCATGCATAAATTATCCACGAAGAGCATTTAATACACTTTAATTCTTTAACGTCTAATGATGAAAATATTTTGCAGATCTCTTTGAACAACTTATAAATAAGAATTGTAATCTATTCACATAAGAGAACATTACATATTTTCAAAAAAACTTAAAAATTGTTTTTGTGCTTAAACAACCTTACATTTTATGAAAATAAACAAACAAACAAGGACATAACAATCACTCAATAATGAATCTTAAAGAAAATATCTAACTTATGGGGCTAAGAAGTCCATAAACCATAAAACTTTACAAAACACATAGCACAACAAAGAATCACGTATGAATTCGAGAATCATTTAAGTATAGTATGGAGCTAAAATAGCTTCAATCAAAACCGAATTCTACGTACCAACCTACTTATGAAGTCAAACCGTACAATTCAACCAATTCAACAACAACTTGCATTGAAGAAAACTAATATGAATCAATTTTCATTCATAAGAAATTTAATATAAACATTAAATAAACCCATAAAAGAACACAAACCAAAATTTGTTGAAGATTGATAAAATTGGAGAAATTGGAGCTTAAAGGAACTGCCACGCCTCTGCCCGGAGCTGTCCGCCGCCACCACCATCGTCGCCGGCCAGCCTCGCCGCCATAGCACCGCCGCCTCTGTGCGTAGCTAGCAGCGGCTAG